TTCTAGATTTAGAAGATGCAGAAAATACCAGAACCCGGGATCCCCCAATAAGACTGAACCTAGGGGCAGATTCTGGGCAGATAAAAGGAAGGAGCCCACAGCTCAAAGACCTTGTTGGTAAAGGCCAGGCAACCCACAGTCAAGGGTAGCAGGCAAGATTTATTCTCACCGCAGGTGAGTATTGGGGGATCCCACTTAGGTGGGGAGTAAAACCAGACTCCTGCCTATTGAGAATCAAGCCTAGCTGTGGGTGCATAGCCTCATCTTGGATTGGGTCTGTTGGTCACACCAGCACGTGACTCACACTGTTGTTTGCCTTCTAAACATGTTACCAAGCAATCACATGACTGGTTTCTGCAGGATATGACCCCAGGTGAACAGGTGTGTGTGTGTGTGTGTGTGTGTGTGTGTGTCTGTCTGTCTGTCTGTCTGTCTGTCTGTCTGTCTGGCAGTAGAAGAGACTCCCACAAGAGGCAGTGGAATTTCCTTCCTTGGAGGTTTTTAAGCAGAGGGTGGATGGCCATCTGTCATGGATTCCTGCATTTCAGGGGTTTGGACCAGATGACTCCTGGGTCCCTTCCAAATCAAAGATTCTTTGATTCTATGAATTTATTGCCCTCCCACCCATTCCTTTCTAAAAGAAGGTAGCCCAGGCCTGCCTGCTCTCATCGCACCCAGGAAAGCTGCCATTTGCTCCCACTGAGAGGCACCTTCTCTCTCACCTGCTGAAAGCTGCTGCCAGGCACACACCTTGTAGACAGTCCCTGGGCTGCAGACCCAGAAGAGGCCCAAGGAAGCCACACTGCCCATCACCAGGACCAGGGCCATCAGGACAAAGACCGCGGCTGCCTTGAAGGATGGGATCGGGGTGAGGGTGACCAGTGACCCCTCGCACTGGAGGGTGCCATCCCGCTCCTTGCAGACTTGGTAGAGGCCGAAGGAGCCCACGGCGCTGACGCTGGGGTCGAAAAGGACCCCGGAGGGGGGCAGCTGGTAGGTGAGCGGCGCTGTCTGCACCCACGCCGGCTGGATCAGGACCACGACCTCCAGGACGCCAAAGCAGAGGGTGCAGCCAGCCCAGAGAGCGCCCACCGCCCTGGCATTGCGCACGAAGTCCGTCTGGTAGAGCGCAGCTGCTTCTCGGGCTGCCAGCATGGTTCAGCCCTCTTTCAAGGGGTCTGCCCGCCCTCTTGCACCCGGGGCAACCTCCACGAGGGAGCAGCTTTCCAAAGAAGGATAAAGTGGGTGTCGTCGTGTCCCTTTTGCGCCACAATCCAGCGTGCGCCCACTTCCTCCGACTGCGGATGCCCTGCTTTCGTTTTCAGCTCTTGGCTCCTCTCCTCCTCTGGGCAAATTTCTGCATTCCTCGGCTCCAGCAGCTGAAGCTTTCCGTGTCGCTGGTTCCAGGCTCCCTCTGGGGCGAGGGAGGGCTGCTCGGCTCGCTTCCTCCGCAGTCTCTCTGCATTCCTCTGCTGGGACTGCTACCTTCCTTCCTTCCCCGAGATTGGCTACCTTCCTTTGCGGGGCGCCGAGGGAGGGAGATGCTGCTCTCCGGCTCTTCCCATCCTCATTCCACAAACCCGGATTTATTTCCTCCAGCGACGGAGGCAAAAGCAGCTGCCACTTGGCCCGGCGCCCAGGTTGACTTGGCCGCCTCGTCCTCGCCTCCCTTGCTCGGTCGCTCAGCGAGGAGCGGCTGGGAAGATGCTCCGCGCTCCCTCCAGGCGAGGATGGAGGCACGCTTTCATGTCCTGGCTCGGAAAAACAAGAAGCGGTGTTTTGGGGCTGGGGAGGAAGAGGGCCCAGAATAGCTGTCCCTTTCCTCCAAAATGCACATAGGCTACAAAATGCAGGAATGCAGACAGACACATCTCATGCTCCTCTGCAGACAAGGGATTCGCGTTTCCAGCAGGGGCAGGCAGCACAGTAGATTTTTAAATATTATTATCGACTTATATACAGCAAATACCGTATATCTATATTGTCATAGATCTTGCTAGAGTCTGTTAGTGAATGGTAAAAAAATAAAAATAAATGGTAGTATTTAGATAACCTTTGGGATTTGTTGTTGCTGTTGTTTAGTCGTGTCCGCCTCTTTGTGACCCCCTGGACCAGAGCATGCCAGGCACTCCTGTCTTCCACTGCCTCCTGCAGTTGGGTCAAACTTATGCTGGTAGCTTCGAGAACACTGTCCAACCATCTCGTCCTCTGTCGTCCCCTTCTCCTTGTGCCCTCCATCTTTCCCAACATCAGGGTCTTTTCCAGGGTGTCTTCTCTTCTCATGAGGTGGCCAAAATATTGGAGCCTCAGCTTCAGGATCTGTCCTTCCAGTGAGCACTCAGGGCTGATTTCCTTAAGAATGGATGCGTTTGATCTTCTTGCAGTGCATAGGACTCTCAAGAGTCTCCTCCAGCACCATAATTCAAAAGCATCAATTCTTCGGCGATCAGCCTTCTTTATGGCCCAGCTCTCACTTCCATACATCACTACTGGGAAAACCATAGCTTTTACTATACGGACCTTTGTTGGCAAGGTGATGTCTCTGCTTTTTAAGATGCTGTCTAGGCTTTGGGATATTGGAGGGAAAATACAGGCTGCAAGCACTTCTTTTGCCAAACATGCGAACTATGAAACAATGGCCATCAAAGAAGGATCCTTGGGTCTGTGCAAAACAGGGGTGCCAAGGTTGGCAGGTGGGGAGGGAGGAGTGATGTCACACAGGAAAAATGTGCGCGTTTAAAATTAGACTTGGAATAGCAAACGGAAGGGGAGGAGTTGCTCTTTCCCAGCGGGGTTCTGGGAACAAGAAAGGAAGTAGGCAGACCTCAATGGGGGGCCAAAGAGCAGAACCATCTTGGCAGGTTGCGACAGAGGCAGGGAGGTGGCTGCAGTGCTGGGGGAACAAGCCCCTACTGAGATAAAGGTAAAGGTAAAGGTACCCCTGCCCGTACGGGCCAGTCTTGCCAGACTCTAGGGTTGTGCGCTCATCTCACTCTATAGGCCGGGAGCCAGCGCTGTCCGCAGACACTTCCGGGTCACGTGGCCAGCGTGACGAAGCTGCTCTGGCGAGCCAGAGCCGCACACGGAAACACCGTTTACCTTCCCGCTAGTAAGCGGTCCCTATTTATCTACTTGCACCCGAGGGTGCTTTCGAAGTGCTAGGTTGGCAGGTGCTGGGACCAAGCAACGGGAGCGCACCCCGCAGCGGGGATTCGAACCGCCGACCATGCAATCGGCAAGTCCTAGGCACTGAGGTTTTACCCACAGCGCCACCCGCGTCCCTCCTCCTACTGAGATGCAAATGCTTTAAACTGTGCACTCCCTCCGTTGAAAGCTTCTGGTGTAAATGTGTGTAGAATAAATAGTATTTCTTAATGGCACAGCAGTCTCTGCCGCACCTTGATTCCCAGTGGAAATGGATCCCAGGGTAAGTGCCTGGGTCTCCCGGGAATCTTCTACCGCCTGGCAGAGATTGGGAGTTGTGCGCAGCCTTTGCAATGATATGTTATAAAGAACAACAACTGTACAATGTTCTAGTTCACAGAAGTTACACACCTGTGCCTGGGCTTCAGACTGCTAGGGCTCAAGTGCTGGGAGGCTCTTCCACACAAAGAATTGAAGCCATTAAAAGGTAAAGGGACCCGACTGTTAAGTCCAGTTGCGGGCGACTCTGGGGTTGCGGCACTCATCTCGCTTTCAGGCCAAGGGAGCCAGTGTTTGTCCACAGCTTCCGGGTCATGTGGCCAGCATGACTAAGCCGCTTCTGGCGAAACCAGAGCAGTGCATGGAAGCGCCATTTACCTTCCCGCTGGAGTGGTACCTATTTATCTACTTGCTCTTTGACGTGCTTTCGAACTGCTAGGTTGGCAGGAGCAGGGACCAAGCAATGGGAGCTCACCTCGTCATGGGGATTTGAACCGCCAACCTTCTGATCAGCAAGCCCCAGGCTCTGTGGTTTAGACCACAGTGCCGCCCACGTCCCAATTAAGCCATTACTGACCCCCAGTATTTAGGCCCCGAGCATTTAGCCATGTCAGAGACCAGTTGTGGTGATGCAGTTCAGACCCAAGGTGGGCATCACAGCGAAAGCTAGATAGACCTAAATGCCTGAGCTCTGAGTTCTCTGTGAAGACCTTGTCGCTGCTGTACATTCAAGTACAGTGGTACCTCTGGTTACATACGCTTCAGTTTACAGACTCCGCTAACCCAGAAATATTACCTCAGGTTAAGAACTTTGCCTTCAGCATGAGAACAGACATCATGCTCCGTCAGCGTATCGGCAGTGGGAGGCCCCATTAGCTAAAGTGGTGCTTCAGGTTAAGAAGTGTTTCAGGTTAAGAACAGACCTCCAGAACAAATTAAGTACTTAACCCGAGGTACGACTATAGGTGGTGCTGGAGCAATGGAAGTCTCTCTCTCTCTACCCGCCATCTCACGCTGCAATATGGGAGATGGTGTGATGTTAAGAACGCTGAAATACTTAGAATGATAGAATTGTAGAGTTGGAAGGGACACTGAGGGTCATCTAGTCCAACCCCCTGCAATGCAGGAATATCAGCTAAAACATCCAAGACAGATGGCCATCCAATCTCTGGTTAAAAACCTCCAAAGAAGGGAGAGCCCCCACTTTTGAGAGAATCTCTTCCACTGTTTAAGAGCTCTTCCTGTCAGAAAGTTCTTCCTGAGGTTTGGGTCCTAGCCTCCGGGATTTACGATACCACTTGCTCTGGCCTAAATAGAGACCTATCAGCAGACATACCAACTTGTGGCATCATGCAAACACAAATATGTGTTTTTTATAACACACACACACACACACACACACACGTTGGACTTGCTGAGCCCGAATGACTTAGGCTGCAGACCTAAGAGCCGCAAAAGTTATCTGATTCACAAGCAGTTTGCTATTAAAGAGGCGAAAAAGCCCTATTGATTTTGCCAAGGCCATCAAAGGGAGAAGATACAGCCTGTCCCCCTCTTGTGGTTAAGAACAAAGCTCCATGATCTGCCGAATTCCCTATGTGCGACACAAATGTGCAGGACTGCAGAGAGTAAGGAGTTAGAAGCCATCAAACTATACCTGAAAAGTGGGTACCGGTCAGAATCAAAAATCTTTCCCATCGTTGGAGCAAGGGTTTCACAGAAATGGCATCCGAATCACCCAAGGAAGAAAGGTATATATAGGTGTGGAACAACTCTGGTGGATCAACACAACATTATGGATAAAGGAAGGTAGGTGAAAAGAAGATCCTTAAGGGACCGGGCTGGAAAAACTGCAAGTGGATTTTGTGACAAACTATGTGCGAAACTATGGGACGCGGTGGGGCTGTGGGTTAAACCATAGAGCCTAGGACTTGCCGATCAGAAGGTTGGTGGTTCAAATCCCCACAACGGGGTGAGCTCTGGTTGTCGGTCCTTGCTCCTGCCAACCTAGCAGTTCGAAAGCACATCAAAGTGCAAGTAGATAAATAAGTTACCGCTCCAGCGGGAAGATAAATTGGCGCTTCCGTGCGCTGCTCTGGTTCACCAAAGCGGTTTGGTCATGCTGGCCACATGACCCGGAAGCTGTACGCCGGCTCCCTCGGCCAATAAAGTGAGATGAGAGCCGCAACCCCAGAGTCGGCCACGACTGGACCTAATGGTCAGGGGTCCCTTTACCTTTTTATGTGTAAAACGAAGTATCTTTTGTAAACTGCCGTGGCTTACTCAAAAGCTGCATCCAATGAACTGGCATTTGCTGGACAGGGATAAGGAGGTGAGGAAACTTGCCTGAATCTCTGGAACAGACTGGGATAAATACAAATTTAGAAGCAGAATGACAAACCCACACATCTGGCAAAACACCCCCCAGCCCCAGCTGCATCCTGCACATAGTTCTGACAGATGGCCAAGGGGGGATGTGTCAGAAATGGAAGAGAATGAGTTTCTATGACACACAGAGGCTCTGGCAGGTCATCAGGTGTGCAAAGCCTCCCCATGGGTATACGTGTCACGAGGGTATACGTCATGAGGAAGCAGAGAGGGCACTAGCAGCCAGTGGGCAGAGCACAGGCATGGCCCCAGTGGCAGCCCACGAGGAGGGCACAGTCATGGGATCACAATTTAAATGGCTTAACATTGGACCAAGCGATCTGTCCCAACTCCCCAGATCTAAAACACAGCCACTCCATTCACAGAAACACTTTATTTGAATAATTAGAAAGATTATAAAATCGAGCAGAGAAACAATGGCAAAGGAAGTAATCATATGCAAAGGATTTTTTAGGCTATAATGTAACTAACTCCCCACTTCTAAAGGTTCAGTGAAACCCCCCACCCCTCCTTTATATCATGGTATGAGTTCAGCCCCTTTATCAAGGAAGAGGGGGGAACTGTGACCCTCCAGGTGTTGAACTCCCCAGTCCCAACCAGCATGGCCCATGTGGTCAGGGATGATAGGATCTGAAGCCCAATAACATTCAGAGGATGACAGGTTCCCCACCTCTGCCCTATAGACACCCCCCCTGCCCCCCAGCTTACCAGGGCCGGCCCTGATAAAACTGACACCCCACCACCACCCTCCCCATAAGCCCTTTTCAACCCATCTTTTCTCAAACCTCTTTTTTTATGGACAGAGTTATGTGTCGCCTTGACCCTGGCCCCATTCGGGTTTTTTATTAGTTCAAGGTGAGGGGCAATCTGTGGTTGCCCGGAATCCAGTAAGGAAGGTGCTCCTCTGAACCACTTTGAGCCAGACAGGGTTGCCAAAGCCTTTTCCATTTGCCCACCCCTGCCGCTCATTGCCCAGGGTACAGCTCTCGGTTGCCCTTTGGAAGGACTGGCCATGCTCCTTGCTTAAGACGATCGCTCAGCAAACATTTCCCACAAACACAGTAACCCAATTCTCACATTCTCCTTTTGCAGCAGAACTGCAGGATGCCCAAACACTGCAGGAAACAGTGTGCGAATAATGTAGCTCTGGCATGCTGAAAGCAGAGTTTTAAATGGCCCCATTTCACACCCACCTTCACAGATGAGATGCAACACACACACACACACACAATTTTGAGTCCACATACAGTGATGGGGCAGGAATGGGAAGAATGTGAGAATCTGGCCTTAGAAGAATGATAAGATAGCCTTCACGGCATCAGACGAGAGCCTTTCAGATCCCATGCTCCTGTCTCTATAATCTAGAGAGAAAGACCCCTTAGGCCATCCTCTCAAGCATCTTGCATGTTCTCTGCTACATGCAGCACCAAATACTGTAGAACCTTGGAACAAGCAAACCAAAGACTCCCATCAAATATATATCTGTATATAATTGCAGGATGTCACTCAGTTTAGATGAACTTGGACCTCCAGCCGTTTATATTTCAAGCCTTCTGGAGATGAACCTCTTCTAGCCACAGGATTCCGCTTGCCCAAAACATGCTTTTGTCTCAACTAGTTACAGAAACGTTCTTGATTAATGGGGGCGGGCAAAGGGGAGAGGAGATAAGAGGAATACATCTCTCTAGAGTGGCTGAGGAAACCTAGCCAGATGGGCAGGATATAAATAATAAATTATCATCATTATTATCATCCCTCCTTTCTCAGTTCAGCATGGTTTCCCTCCAACCTAGCAACTTTAGTATGGAGGAGAGAGGGTGATTTTGGAAAAAATATGTGGCAATTTGAGACAGGATGGAATGGGTGTGTTGTGCAATCAGACTCCGGAAATGTGAGCAGAGATAAATGCCTGCCCCCCACCTTCCCAAGAAAAACATGCGCTTCTTCAGCAACCAGGGAAAGCAAGTCACCTCTGCCCGGAAGTGAAGTAATCCCCAAGGTTGATTTGAAATGGACCCCAATCATGGAATACACCAGAAAGGAACATTCTTTGTCCTTGTGGAAGCAATGAGGTCGCTGGTGTTTGATTTGTGGCTGCTGCTGGTATTGCATTGATGATTGCTGACTACTATTTGGCACATCAAGAGCCCTTGAAGCATCAGGTTCAATTCAGTGAGGTCAAACGATGGTAGATTGTGCTGCATTCTGTATTAGCTGCTCCTTACAAAGGGAGTTGCTTTAGGAAGGTACTGCCATGTCCATGCCAAACTTTAGCCGGTGAGCCTGGCTCTTGGCTTCAAAGAGAATCTGGGAGAGGGGAGAAGCCCAAAGGAACAATACTAATAAAAATAATGCTAATAAACGCACAAAAGAGTGTCAAATCAGACTACAATTCAAGAAAACCTCAGGCATGAAGAGCATTGCTGGTGGTGAGGATTCCTCCGCACTGGATTCTACCACACTCGGGTGGGCAGTCACCTCCCACTGGCGGAAGGAAGCACAAATCCCCAAAATAGGGGAATGTGGAGCCAGGGCCCTGGAAGATTTCTGTTGTGTGAGCACTAAGTTGTTCTGCTTGCATAATGTCTCGGTTGAAGTCAACCCAGAAAATAGTCCCATTAGGAGCAATAGGACTCACTCCCTAGTCTAGGGGTAGCCATAGAGAGTGCCTTCCAAAAGATGGGAGTTGTGATCCAAAACGTCAGGAAGGTAACACAGGGGCTGCTCCTGCCGTAGTCAAGGAAAGAGGAACCTGTGCTCTTCCAGATGTTGCTGGAATCCAACTCTCATCATACCTGCCCTGGTATTCGAGAGGGGCACTGCTGCTGAACAAAGAGGCTCCGTTTAACTATTCTGGCCAATCAGTGACATTCCTAGCAGCACAGGTGCAGTGGGAGGGGCCTGGCACTTGGAGCACCTCCCACTTTTTGGACGCATCAGCTGCCACTATTCCGAAGCAGAAGCCTAGGATTATTCAGGAGATGGGGCTGGAAAAGAGAAGTCATGTGCTTTCAAAATACTACTTTCCACCACGCTGTTTTCCCGAAGAAGCATGGCTGCTGTTTTGTTTTATTTCTCATGAAGGGAAAATAATTCCTTTGAAGGAGTGTAGCTTCTTACTGGGTGGGACTCTCCCTCCTACAGGGATGTTGGAAATTTCCAGTGGGCACAAGAACAGAAACGACCAGTGTTTGCTTATTCATCCCATGTCCAGAAAGAAAATCAATTGAGTGAATATGATTGGCATTCACTGTAGCTGTTTTCAGTCTGCAAATGATGACATTTTTACCCCATTTGCACTGGTTTCCTTTGCACTGAAATGAATGGCCTCTGTGTTGAAATCAGTGGTGTGGGTTAATGTCATGATAAAGTAATTAACTACATCATTAATTACATAAAATTCCACCACAGCAGACAGCGAGGCAAAAAACCTTCAGTGCTGCCAGCAGAAACACATTCCATGCAGTTCACAGAATCCTCTCTGCAAAGAGCGAATTTGCTCTGCTCTCAGCATAATGGAATGGAATAGCCCCAGGTGGGAGAGAAATCCCTCTGGATTCTCTGTTAATGGAAGAAGTTGGCCCCATCAGAGAACAATCTCTTGTCAATAATAATGGAACATTCCACCCACACTCTTCTTTAATGCCACTGTCAATCAAACTTTTTTCTTAAAAAGAGCTCGAGTGAAACAAAGCCCTTATTTGCTGTTCCCAGTTCTTTTTCTCTGGGGGTACGCAGTACACATACCCCTAAACATTTTATGAATCTTTGTACTTTTGTCCATTTACTGTATTTATTTTTTCCGATTTGAACTATAAAATGGTGATTTTCTTGAGTCAAAATGAGAGTACCCCAAACATTTTTTTTTAGAAAAAAAGCACTGGCTGTTCCTGTTCAAAAGCTGCCAAAAGCTTACTTTTGTATCTCAATGGGGGAAAGCATAATGCACATAGTGAACTCAGTACCCAAGTAAACTAGTTCAGCGGCAAACCAGATTATGTCACTCCAAGTGCACTGGGGCTGGAACCCCTTAAAAGCAACAGCCATCAGATTATCTTGGGGCTCCCCTAGAGGGGTGGAAGCTCCTCCCAAGCCTCAAGTAATGATTTGCAACCCCAGCTGATGTTCCACCAAGCAATGCAGCTCAGACGGCTATGTATCATTTGTGTTGAATGACAGGACTGATGGGGGTGGGGGTGTCCGTTCCCCAAGCAAATGTGCATCTCATCACACTGGTTTGGTATTTCCAAGCAGAAGGGCAAACCGCTGGGAAAGGAAAGGGTGGAAAAAGGACCAAAGCACGACACAACTCACCGGGTGGTGGACATAGGCTTGGCATCCATAGCACCAGACAGAGAGGTCCGCAAAGCTAAGAACCAGCGGATGCCCAGACTCTGAGTTGTGAGCTACCATATGTTGCTTAATGTAGCGGCCACAGCAAACCTGAATGGGGTGGAAGAAAGCAGGCTTAGATGATGGTGGAAACGGCTCCAAAAGACAAGACTAACCTTCGGAATGGACCAAATAGACTCATTTGAAAATAAATAAACCAAGGACAGCTATCTGAAGCTCAACTCTTCTGCTCTTAGAGAGGACGGACCACACATCAGCACCCCATCTGGCAAGTATCAGAAGCAGAGGAGGAAGAAGACAGAAAGCCGATACAGTGGTACCTCGGGTTACATACGCTTCAGGTTACAGACTCTGCTAACCCAGAAATAGTACCTCGGGTTAAGAAATTTGCTTCAGGATGAGAACAGAAATCGGGCGGCGGCAGCACGGTGGCAGCGGGAGGCCCCATTAGCTAAAGTGGTGCTTCAGGTTAAGAACAGTTTCAGGTTAAGAACGGACCTCCGGAACGAATTAAGTACGTAACCAGAGGTACCACTGTACTGTGGAGTGGATCACCTCAGAGAAATCAAGGGGGCAAGTCAGCAGGCCACAGAAGGCAGTCTGCACAGTCTGCCTCGACATGTTTAAGGACAATACAACATGGAGAGAAATCTCCTTGCCTTGCATACAACAAATACAGTGAACCCCACAGCAAGGAGGGAAAGGGGGAAAAAAACAATCTTTCCCAACGTAAATGTAACTGGGGTACAAAAAGACAGCATAGTGTGGCAATTAAGAGCACTGGGCTAGGATTGGGGAGATATAGGTTCAAAACCCCACTGAGTCATTAATAAATCTCACCCTAATCCCCCCCTCCAGACTGCCCTCATTTGAGGTTCCCCCATTACCGAAGCTCCAGTAGTGATAGCTTATCTGTGAGCTGTTAAACCAACTAAAACAAAACCCTTAAAAAAACAAACACCTAAAAACCCGGTACTGTTAATTCACTTTATGGATGGTGGGGGTCACTCCCAGTTTACCTAAGCCCCCCCCCCCCGCTTGCCCACCTTAAAGGTAAAGGGACCCCTGACCATTAGGTCCAGTCGTGGCCGACTCTGGGGTTGCGGCGCTCATCTCGCTTTATTGGCCGAGGGAGCCGGCGTACAGCTTCCGAGTCATGTGGCCAGCATGACTAAGCCACTTCTGGCAAAGCAGAGCGGCGCACGGAAACGCCGTTTACCTTCCCGCTGGAGCGGTGCCTATTTATCTACTTGCGCTTTGCCCACCTTAAAGGTAAAGGTAAAGGTACCCCTGCCCGTACGGGCCAGTCTTGACAGACTCTGGGGTTGTGCGCCCATCTCACTCTATAGGCTGGGAACCAGCGCTGTCCGCAGACACTTCCGGGTCCCGTGGCCAGCATGACAAGCTGCATCTGGCGAGCCAGCGCAGCACACGGAACGCCGTTTACCTTCCCGCTAGTAAGCGGTCCCTATTTATCTACTTGCACCCGAGGGTGCTTTTGAACTGCTAGGTTGGCAGGCGCTGGGACCGAGAGACAGGAAAGCACCCCGCCACGGGGATTCGAACCGCCGACCTTTCGATCGGCAAGTCCTAGGCGCTGAGGCTTTTACCCACAGCGCCACCCGCGTCCCTTTGCCCACCTTACCTTGTAACAAATCAGACAGACCCAATTCTCTGCCATGCTGCCACATTCTGCACAGGGCTCCAGCACATTCAAGCCAAGGGAAGGCACAGGGAGCACCGAGTCAAGGTGGGGGCACCATGGCAAGGGAGTCACAGCATAAAACAACCCCTAGGAAGAAAGAGAGCATCATCTCTGCATCCTGGCACCCAACCTCAACCAAGCCCAGAAAATCCAATCCCAGGTACCCTCCCATCTCTCCCCAAACTCACTTCATCTGCCAGGTCTTCTTCAAGCGGGTCACAGGAGGAAGAGCAGCCACCTGCAGCTTCGTCAAGCAGAATAACCTCCGCTAGCATTGGGGGGCTAGCCGGTGGGCTTACCTGGTTGAAGGAGGGGCGATGGAGGAAAGAGAAGAGAGATTTAGGGTCGAGTCTTGCTTCAGATATCAGAGAGACGTGAAACCCAGCGATGGATTCCATTCCAAGCACACCACGGGCAACGCTACAGTTCTAGAATAAAGGAGCCTCCAGTACGTAGAAACACAAGCAGTGAAGTGGGAGGGGAGCGCAACCAGCCCCCTGCCCTCCTTTTGGAGGAAAAGGCTTGTGTGGGAGCAGCTTAGCCCCCCTTTCTGCTGTGTTTTCTTATTTAGAAAAGAAATGCTGTTTCAGGGGGAGGAGAAAGAAGAGAGAGATTTGGGGAAAAGTTGAGTGGGCATCATGCCACAGGCTGAGGTCCAGGGTCCAAAAAACCAGAAGGATTTAGAGCAGGGGTCAGCAAACTTTTTCAGTAGCGGGCCACTCCACTGTCCCTCAGGCCTTGTCGGGGGGGCGGGCGGACTATATTTTGAAGGGGGAAAATGAATGAATTCCTATGCCCTACAAATAACCCAGAGATGCATTTTAAATAAAAGCACACATTCTACTCATGTAAAAACACACTGATTCCCGGACCATCTGCAGGCCGGATTTAGAAGGCGATTGGGCCAGATCCGGCCCCCGGGCCTTAGTTTGCCTACCCATGATTTAGAGTAGTAATTCCACGCCACCGTGCCCCAAAACAGGACTCTTTATAGCAGGCATCCCCAACCTGCAGCCCTCCAGATGTTTTGGCCTACAACTCCCATGAGCCCCACCTAACAGGACCCATCAGGGATGATGGGAATTGTAGTCCAAAACATCTGGAGGGCCGAAGGTTGGGGATGCTTGCTTTATAGCCTTTATGGAATATGACAGAGGACAAGTTCCCAGAATAAGCTTGCCCAGCACTATCAATCTTCTCCCTCCAATTTGAGGCCACGGAGGATGGTTGGGTGATTTCTGGGTACATTCTGCGTACAAGCAGGGCTGGTACCCCAGAATCCTTTTCACTGTGCAGGAGCCATATGACAAACAAGCCAACGGGGAAATTATTCCCTAAAGGAAAAAAGTGGGTAGTCCAGAAAAGCTACTGATCTAGAGAAGAGTGTGTGGCAGGTACAGCAAGATTCAACCGAGCACAGGCCACTGTCGCAGCATACATTTAGATCTCAGGGACAGCTCTACAAAAAGTCATGGCTTCCCCCAAAAAATTCTGGGAGATATAGTTGTTAATGGGTGCTGAGAGTTGCTAGGAGATCCCTAGCTCTGAGGGGAATAAGGGTGGTGCCTAGGGGTTGCTGATCAGAAGGTCGGCGGTTTGAATCTCCTCGACGGGGTGAGCTCCCGTTGCTCGGTCCCTGCTCCTGCCAACCTGGCAGTTCGAAAGCACCTCAAAGTGCAAGTAGATAAATAGGTACCGCTCCGGCGGGAAGGTAAACGGCGTTTCCGTGTGCTGCTCTGGTTCGCTAGAAGCGGCTTAGTCATGCTGACCACACGACCCGGAAGCTGTACGCCGGCTCCCTTAGCCAGTAAAGCAAGATGGGTGCCGCAACCCCAGAGTCGTCCACAACTGGACCTAACAGTCAGGAGTCCCTTTACCTTAACTAACAACTCTTAGCACTGTTCATGAATTACAGATCTCAGAATTCAAGGATGCCGAATTTTGTTAGGAGTTGCTAAGAGATTCCTGTTCCCCCCCCACAGAGCTACAATTCCCAGAGTTCCCTCCCGGCTGTTCAGGCACCTCCAGGATCACTCCTCCTTTGTCCCTGACAAACCTTCAAAGGTCTGTTCCAGTTTTAAAAGCTCCAGTCAGATTTACAACACAAATCAGGGTTCGTTCACACTTCTGCTTCTCCCATGCCTAGAAAGCCCAGGCCCAAGCAGTTTTCCATTTGTCTCTTCCTTTCTAGGCATGGGTTTGCCTTTCCCCCAGGAAACCTGCTCTTTCGGGCTAAATCAGAGCTAACACCAATCCGGAGAAAACCCAATTGCTTTGCTCTGATTCAGCGGTAAATGGCGTGTTTCCCCAGGGGAAAGCAGCAAGGCAAGCGCAAGTGTGAACCCGCACACCATGGCTTGCACTGGCACAGCTGCCTGGCACCTACCCAGTGGCGTAGCGTGGGGGGTGCAGGGGGGGCCGGCCGCACCGGGCGCAACATCTGGGGGTTAGGGTTAGGGGGCGCAAATCCACGGGTTAGGGGGCACAAATCCACAGGTTAGGGGGCGCAAATTACTTGCCTTGCCCCGGGTGCTGACAACCCACGCTACGCCACTGCACCTACCTCTGCCTCTTTGCCAGGAGACTCCGCTCCACCCGTGGAGCTCCCTGTCGACATGCCTTCCTTCTGGGCATCCACCGCTGGCTCAGCTTCTCCAGGGGAGGCCCCAACCTCTTCGCCCACCGGACTGGAATCGGGTGAGAGGGAACTGGAAGCTGTCTCTGCCTCCTCCACAAGGCGGTCTTCCAGCTGGAGGGAGCTCAGAGCCAAAACAGCATCATTCAAGGTATTCACAGGTTGAGCGCTGGGGCTTTGAAGCAGCTTCTGGGGGGCCTCCGGGGGGATTTCATCTGGAATGGGAGTTCCTTTCCCAGCTCGAGTCCTGGGCTTCTCCCACAGAGGAGCAGGCACTGGGGAGAGAAGATATAGGTTGCTCTTCCTCTTCCCACAACCACTGAGCTGCCATCCAATTGTTCCAAACGGAGCCAGAGAGGTAGGAGTGTGCCAACTCCAGCTTCCCTTCCTGGTCTGTTTTGCCTCACCTTTCTCTCTCCTGGCACCTGCTTCTCACCCCTGTCCTCAGGCCCCTGCCTCCCCCCCCCCAACTCTCTCCAGTCCTATTCTGAAGCTCACCCCCCTGGCAGTGTCATGTAGATAAGGGGATGTTGTGACATCAGCAGCCATTCTACCAATCCTCAGTGCCATCTCAGGAGGAGACTTCTTTGCCCTCCTCCTGAGCTGTGCTGGTTGCTAGGTGCGCAGGATCGTAGAACTGCAGAGTTGGAAGGGACTGTGAGGATCATCTGGTCCAACCGCCTGCAAGGCAGGAAGCTTTTGCCCAACGTGGGGCTCGAACCCACAACCTTGAGATTAAGAGCTGCTGACATCACAATCGCCCTGAAATATCCAGCCCCAACAAGCTGTCCTACTTCCTTCCCTATGTAGTTTTTGCAGAGGAGGCAGGTATCACTGGAGATTACCCCCAGATGAAAGGTTGAAGCTTGCCTAACATGCACCTCGAAGTTTCAGGAGGAAATAGAGAGAGGCTGCGGTTGAGCAGGCCGTGAGCACCAGCTGCAGTGATCTTCCACAAGTGGCTTAGCAAAGGAAATGTGGGGCTTCCACCACATGATGTAAGAAGGCAAGGCATGTGCTCTCTGGAGAAAGTGGCTTCGACCCACACTTTCTGCATTCCAGGGCATTTTCTTCTGAATAGCCACAGAAATATTCCATCACAAAACCTTCTCCCCCCTCCATCTCTTTGGAGTCTCAGGTCTGATCACTGCCTTACCTCTGCACTTTTAACTTCAGGCCTCTCCTCTCTGCTTCCCTGTAGACCTATTCAGCTGCAGCCTCTCTGCCTGGCCCTCTTTTGCAATGAGTATTGAAACATGGCCCACACAGAGACTGGGCTGCACCGATGTGGGAGAGTCACAACCCAATCTCCACCCCCTGAATTGGGACTTTCCTGGCAGTTGCCCCCAGGCCCTTTAAAGCTGCTCAGCAGGTTGAGATGTGCCCTATTGCTGCCTTTCATCTGCAGCAGACACCCAACTTGGCAGGTTGGAACTGGTAACATTTGATATGCAAAATCGACAGAATCCAGAGTCCACCACCCCTGCAGTAATGTTTACATCAACCCAGTAGTGTTACTCCCTGACCCACAGGAGAGGCGAGGGGGGCAGTGATGAGGCTGACAAACAGAGCTTTGCCTAAAGGCCACTCTGTGAATTCATAGCAGAGACCTCTCAGCCCCCAGCTCACACCCTAACCCTCTACATTGCAATAGTTCTGATGCAGAGCATTTGCCACCAAGGAACAGTGGAGGACAGGAGAGAGACAATTCACCTTCCAGTCGCAGGCTTGCCCAGTACTTGCGGTGCACAGCAGCTGCATTGGCCAAAGATTGCAGGGCACTGGGGTGGGGGGCCTTGAGGCGTCCCAGAGGGGGCAGAGGATCCCCCAGGAGGCTGCGTGTGCACATGGTCATGGATTCCGAGATCGATTCTAGGTTGTAGCCGCCCTGGAAAAGGGGAAGGGAAAGTTCAGAGAAACTGCACCCCAGATGCAACCACATATGAGTCTGCTGGGCAAGTCCTGCATGTTCACGATGGAGGTGTGGAATTTGCTGTCCCAAAGAACCTCTGTTGGTATTCAAAATACAAAAAAAAGGAAGCTTCTAGTCCTCATGACCCACTGTCACTGGGTCCACTGGGGAGGTGGTGCCGTGAATGATGATGGCTGCTGTGTGCCATGATGGAGGGGGAATTGTGAGGTAGCAACAATGAAAAGAAGGCCGACTTTACTTTTCTGTAAGACGCTCCCTATTTTGGGGGACTAAAATTAAAGAAAATGGGGGGAGATGGCCCAGAGGATTGACCAGAATTGTTGAGCTATTTGGGGGGCGGGAGTGCAGAAAAATCACTCACCCAACTGACAAACACTAACAATCACAAGCAATGCACACTAAATTGCTGAGGCAGCAGCCATTCCAAAGCAGCCCTTGACACAGACACCATTCACCCACCCAATCCCTAAATCCTGCTCGCAGCTGCAACCAACACCCATCCCCCCCCTCTGCACTATCCATGTATAAGATGACCCCCCCACATTTTTAAAATTTATTTTAGAGTAAAAAAAAACCTCGTCTAATACACGGAAAAGTACGATGCATAATGCTCGAGGGTACAACAGACTTTGCACCTATGTTGTCTTGTGGTAATTGTCACAACAGATCTTTTAAAGCAGGACAGAAATCATTATACAGTGGTACCTCGGGTTACATACACTTCAGGTTACATACGCTTCAGGTTACAGACTCCACTAACTCAGAAATAGTACCTCGGGTTAAGAACTTTACCTCAGGATGAGAACAGAAATCGTGTTCCGGTGGTGCGGCGGCAGCAGGAGGCCCCATTACTAAAGTGGTGCTTCAGGTTTAAGAACAGTTTCAGGTTAAGAACGGCCTCCGGAACAAATTAAGTGCTAACCCGAGGTACCACTGTAGTCAGGTTGCGTATGGGTAAGCTGAGAGGGTACAGCTTGCCCCTAAGGAGTTCATGGCAGGGGGGAGATCCAAACCAGAGGCTTCCTGAGTTGCAGTTCACCTGCTTAGCCACTAGGCTACACCAGCCAGCATTTAAGTAGAGACTATGGTGAGGGCAAGTGTAGAAATGTTGGCTTTGATAACTTAGGGTTCATTTACATTTTGCCCCACAGCTTTCCCCAGGAAAACCCACTCATTAGCACTCAATGACAGGAAACGGCAATTTGGGTTTTCTCTGGGTTGACGTTTGCTCCTATTTAAAGCTAAGGAGAGGGTTTACCCTGGGAAAGGAGTGGGTCAAGGGAGAAATTGATTGGATCTGTGCTTTTTAGAATCGGGGACGATCCCTTACTTGCTATAAAAGGAAGAGGGCAAATGAGGACTGTTTCTACTACAGGTAAAATGCCCACTGCTAATGCCTTGTCAGGACCCCTGAAGGTGACATTCAGGTTTGCATGCCGGCTGTCATCTCTTCTTCCCTGTCAAAGCAGCCGAGGCTGAACCCAGGGCAGAGCCCTGCCCCACAGCACAGGTGCCTCCAAGTGCGGAAGTCTGCTTTTCCCACAGCAATGAGTGGCAGCCATCCTGGCAGCCCTTTCACCTTCGCAAAATGTCCAGGCCTTGAAATGGAGAAGGTGTACTTAACTATTTCCCTGTTTCCACCTGAAACATTCTCCCACCTTTTACCACCCGCAGGGTTCCAGCTCCAAAAATAAATATTGTTTATTTTCACCGCTCTGTCGGAATTGTTTGCTGTGTGGATGCCAGCCCCGCATTTACTTTCCTGCAGTACTCCACCCCTTTCTGAACAACCAGGTGTTTCCTGGCCCTGGAGATGTCTCACAAGCCGTGCTCCCCAAGAAGAGCCAAACAGCATCATTCAAGGTATTCACAGGTTGAGCGCTGGGGCTTTGAAGCAGCTTCTGGGGGGCCTCCGGGGGATTTCATCTGGAATGGGAGTTCCTTTCCCAGCTCGAGTCCTGGCTTCTCCCACAGAGGAGCAGGCACTGGGGAGAGAAGATATAGGTTGCCTCCTCTTCCACAACCACTGAGCTGCCATCCAATTGTTCCAAACGGAGCCAGAGAGGTCCACCCACTCTCCGGTCGTCACCCTGGCACTGCTCTCACTGTCCTAGGCTGCCTCCCACTCTCTCCAGTCCTATTCTGAAGCTCACCCCCTGGCAGTGTCATGTAGATAAGGGGATGTTGTGACATCAGCAGCCATTCTACCAATCCTCAGTGCCATCTCAGGAGGAGACTTCTTTGCCCTCTCTGAGCTGTGCTGGTTGCTAGGTGCGCAGGATCGTAGAACTGCAGAGTTGGAAGGGACTGTGAGGATCATCTGGTCCAACCGCCTGCAAGGCAGGAAGCTTTTGCCCAACGTGGGGCTCGAACCCACAACCTTGAGATTAAGAGCTGCTGACATCACAATCGCCCTGAAATATCCACCCCAACAAGCTGTCCTACTTCCTTCCCTATGTAGTTTTTGCAGAGGAGGCAGGTATCACTGGAGATTACCCCCAGATGAAAGGTTGAAGCTTGCCTAACATGCACCTCGAAGTTTCAGGAGGAAATAGAGAGAGGCTGCGGTTGAGCAGGCCGTGAGCACAGCTGCAGTGATCTTCCACAAGTGGCTTAGCAAAGGAAATGTGGGGCTTCCACCACATGATGTAAGAAGGCAAGGCATGTGCTCTCTGGAGAAAGTGGCTTCGACCCACACTTTCTGCATTCCAGGGCATTTTCTTCTGAATAGCCACAGAAATATTCCATCACAAACCTTCTCCCCCCTCCATCTCTTTGGAGTCTCAGGTCTGATCACTGCCTTACTCTGCACTTTTAACTTCAGGCTCTCCTCTCTGCTTCCCTGTAGACCTATTCAGCTGCAGCCTCTCTGCCTGGCCCTCTTTGTCAATGAGTATTGAAACATGGCCCACACAGAGACTGGGCTGCACCGATGAGAGATTTAGGGTCGAGTCTTGCTTCAGATATCAGAGAGACATGAAACCCAGCGATGGATTCCATTCCAAGCACACCACGGGCAACGCTACAGTTCTAGAATAAAGGAGCCTCCAGTACGTAGAAACACAAGCAGTGAAGTGGGAGGGGAGCGCAACCAGCCCCTGCCCTCCTTTTGGAGGAAAAGGCTTGTGTGGGAGCAGCTTAGCCCCCCTTTCTGCTGTGTTTTCTTATTTAGAAAAGAAATGCTGTTTCAGGGGGAGGAGAAAGAAGAGAGAGATTTGGGGAAAAGTTGAGTGGGCATCATGCCACAGGCTGAGGTCCAGGGTCCCAAAAACCAGAAGGATTTAGAGCAGGGGTCAGCAAACTTTTTCAGCAGCGGGCCACTCCACTGTCCCTCAGGCCTTGTCGGGGGGCGGACTATATTTTGAAGGGAAAAAATGAACGAATTCCTTTGCCCTACAAATAACCCAGAGATGCATTTTAAATAAAAGCACACATTCTACTCATGTAAAAACACACTGATTCCCGGACCATCTGCAGGCCGGATTTAGAAGGCGATTGGGCCAGATCCGGCCCCCGGGCCTTAGTTTGCCTACCCATGATTTAGAGTAGTAATTCCACGCCACCGTGCCCCAAAACAGGACTCTTTATAGCAGGCATCCCCAACCTGCAGCCCTCCAGATGTTTTGGCCTACAACTCCCATGAGCCCCACCTAACAGGACCAGTGATCAGGTCCAGTGATCAGGGAATTGTAGTCCAAAACATCTGGAGGGCCAAAGGTTGGGGATGCTTGCTTTATAGCCTTTATGGAATATGAGAGAGGACAAGTTCCCAGAATAAGCTTGCCCAGCACTATCAATCTTCTCCCTCCAATTTGAGCCCACGGAGGATGGTTGGGTGATTTCTGGGTACATTCTGCGTACAAGCAGGGTGGTACCCCAGAATCCTTTTCACTGTGCAGGAGCCATATGACAAACAAGCCAATGGGGAAATTATTCCCTAAAGAAAGAAAGTGGGTAGTCCAGAAAAGCTACTGATCTAGAGAAGAGTGTGTGGCAGGTACAGCAAGATTCAACCGAGCACAGGCCACTGTCGCAGCATACATTTAGATCTCAGGGACAGCTCTACAAAAGGTCATGGCTTCCCCCCCAAAATTCTGGGAGATATAGTTGTTAATGGGTGCTGAGAGTTGCTAGGAGATCCCTACTCCCCCTCACAGAGCTACAACTCCCAGAGTGGTTCAATAGTCCGTCCCTCTTTCCAGGGAACTCTGAGAAATGTAGCTCTGAGGGGAATAAGGGTGGCGCCTAGGGGTTGCTGATCAGAAGGTCGGCGGTTTGAATCCCCACGACGGGGTGAGCTCCCGTTGCTCGGTCCCTGCTCCTGCCAACCTGGCAGTTCGAAAGCACCTCAAAGTGCAAGTAGATAAATAGGTACCGCTCCGGCGGGAAGGTAAACGGCGTTTCCGTGTGCTGCTCTGGTTCGCTAGAAGTGGCTTAGTCATGCTGACCACACGACCCGGAAGCTGTACGCCGGCTCCCTTAGCCAGTGAAGCAAGATGGGTGCTGCAACCCCAGAGTCGTCCACAACTGGACCTAACAGTCAGGAGTCCCTTTACCTTAACTAACAACTCTTAGCACTGTTCATGAATTACAGATCTCAGAATTCAAGGATGCCGAATTTTGTTAGGAGTTGCTAAGAGATTCCTGTTCCCCCCCCACAGAGCTACAATTCCCAGAGTTCCCTCCCGGCTGTTCAGGCACCTCCAGGATCACTCCTCCTTTGTCCCTGACAAACCTTCAAAGGTCTGTTCCAGTTTTAAAAGCTCCAGTCAGATTTACAACACAAATCAGGGTTTGTTCACACTTCTGCTTCTCCCATGCCTAGAAAGCCCAGGCCCAAGCAGTTTTCCATTTGTCTCTTCCTTTCTAGGCATGGGTTTGCCTTTCCCCCAGGAAACCTGCTCTTTCGGGCTAAATCAGAGCTAACACCAATCCGGAGAAAACCCAATTGCTTTGCTCTGATTCAGCGGTAAATGGCGTGTTTCCCCAGGGGAAAGCAGCAAGGCAAGCGCAAGTGTGAACCCGCACACCATGGCTTGCACTGGCACAGCTGCCTGGCACCTACCCAGTGGCGTAGCGTGGGGGTGCAGGGGGGGCCGGCCGCACCGGGCGCAACATCTGGGGGTTAGGGGGCGCAAATCCACGGGTTAGGGGGAACAAATCCACAGGTTAGGGGGCGCAAATTACTTGCCTTGCCCCGGGTGCTGACAACCCACGCTACGCCACTGCACCTACCTCTGCCTCTTTGCCAGGAGACTCCGCTCCACCCGTGGAGCTCCCTGTCGACATGCCTTCCTTCTGGGCATCCACCGCTGGCTCAGCTTCTCCAGGGGAGGCCCCAACCTCTTCGCCCACCGGACTGGAATCGGGTGAGAGGGAACTGGAAGCTGTCTCTGCCTCCTCCACAAGGCGGTCTTCCAGCTGGAGGGAGCTCAGAGCCAAAACAGCATCATTCAAGGTATTCACAGGTTGAGCGCTGGGGCTTTGAAGCAGCTTCTGGGGGGCCTCCGGGGGGATTTCATCTGGAATGGGAGTTCCTTTCCCAGCTCGAGTCCTGCGCTTCTCCCACAGAGGAGCAGGCACTGGGGAGAGAAGATATAGGTTGCTCCTCCTCTTCCCACAACCACTGAGCTGCCATCCAATTGTTCCAAACGGAGCCAGAGAGGTCCCCCCAACTCTCTCCAGTCCTATTCTGAAGCTCACCCCCCTGGCAGTGTCATGTAGATAAGGGGATGTTGTGACATCAGCAGCCATTCTACCAATCCTCAGTGCCATCTCAGGAGGAGACTTCTTTGCCCACCTCCTGAGCTGTGCTGGTTGCTAGGTGCGCAGGATCGTAGAACTGCAGAGTTGGAAGGGACTGTGAGGATCATCTGGTCCAACCGCCTGCAAGGCAGGAAGCTTTTGCCCAACGTGGGGCTCGAACCCACAACCTTGAGATTAAGAGCTGCTGACATCACAATCGCCCTGAAATATCCACCCCCAACAAGCTGTCCTACTTCCTTCCCTATGTAGTTTTTGCAGAGGAGGCAGGTATCACTGGAGATTACCCCCAGATGAAAGGTTGAAGCTTGCCTAACATGCACCTCGAAGTTTCAGGAGGAAATAGAGAGAGGCTGCGGTTGAGCAGGCCGTGAGCACCAGCTGCAGTGATCTTCCACAAGTGGCTTAGCAAAGGAAATGTGGGGCTTCCACCACATGATGTAAGAAGGCAAGGCATGTGCTCTCTGGAGAAAGTGGCTTCGACCCACACTTTCTGCATTCCAGGGCATTTTCTTCTGAATAGCCACAGAAATATTCCATCACAAATCTTCTCCCCCCTCCATCTCTTTGGAGTCTCAGGTCTGATCACTGCCTTACCTCTGCACTTTTAACTTCAGGCCTCTCCTCTCTGCTTCCCTGTAGACCTATTCAGCTGCAGCCTCTCTGCCTGGCCCTCTTTTGCAATGAGTATTGAAACATGGCCCACACAGAGACTGGGCTGCACCGATGTGGGAGAGTCACAACCCAATCTCCACCCCCTGAATTGGGACTTTCCTGGCAGTTGCCCCCAGGCCCTTTAAAGCTGCTCAGCAGGTTGAGATGTGCCCTATTGCTGCCTTTCATCTGCAGCAGACACCCAACTTGGCAGGTTGGAACTGGTAACATTTGATATGCAAAATCGACAGAATCCAGAGTCCACCACCCCTGCAGTAATGTTTACATCAACGCAGTAGTGTTACTCCCTGACCCACAGGAGAGGCGAGGGGGGCAGTGATGAGGCTGACAAAAAGAGCTTTGCCTAAAGGCCACTCTGTGAATTCATAGCAGAGACCTCTCAGCCCCCAGCTCACACCCTAACCCTCTACATTGCAATAGTTCTGATGCAGAGCATTTGCCACCAAGGAACAGTGGAGGACAGGAGAGAGACAATTCACCTTCCAGTCGCAGGCTTGCCCAGTACTTGCGGTGCACAGCAGCTGCATTGGCCAAAGATTGCAGGGCACTGGGGTGGGGGGCCTTGAGGCGTCCCAGAGGGGGCAGAGGATCCCCCAGGAGGCTGCGTGTGCACATGGTCATGGATTCCGAGATCGATTCTAGGTTGTAGCCGCCCTGGAAAAGGGGGAAGGGAAAGTTCAGAGAAACTGCACCCCAGATGCAACCACATATGAGTCTGCTGGGCAAGTCCTGCATGTTCACGATGGAGGTGTGGAATTTGCTGTCCCAAAGAACCTCTGTTGGTATTCAAAATACAAAAAAAAGGAAGCTTCTAGTCCTCATGACCCACTGTCACTGCGTCCACTGGGGAGGTGGTGCCGTGAATGATGATGGCTGCTGTGTGCCATGATGGAGGGGGAATTGTGAGGTAGCAACAATGAAAAGAAGGCCGACTTTACTTTTCTGTAAGACGCTCCCTATTTTGGGGGACTAAAATTAAAGAAAATGGGGGGAGATGGCCCAGAGGATTGACCAGAATTGTTGAGCTATTTGGGGGGCGGGAGTGCAGAAAAATCACTCACCCAACTGACAAACACTAACAATCACAAGCAATGCACACTCAATTGCTGAGGCAGCAGCCATTCCAAAGCAGCCCTTGACACAGACACCATTCACCCACCCAATCCCTAAATCCTGCTCGCAGCTGCAACCAAACACCCATCCCCCTCTGCACCATCCATGTATAAGACGACCCCCCCCCCATTTTAAAATTTATTTTAGAGTAAAAAAACACCTCGTCTAATACACGGAAAAGTACGATGCATAATGCTCGAGGGTACAACAGACTTTGCACCTATGTTGTTTTGTGGTAATTGTCACAACAGATCTTTTAAAGCAGGACAGAAATCCTTATACAGTGGTACCTCGGGTTACATACGCTTCAGGTTACAGACTCCACTAACTCAGAAATAGTACCTTGGGTTAAGAACTTTACCTCAGGATGAGAACAGAAATCGTGTTCCGGCGGTGCGGCGGCAGCGGGAGGCCCCATTAGCTAAAGTGGTGCTTCAGGTTAAGAACAGTTTCAGGTTAAGAACGGACCTCCAGAACAAATTAAGTGCTTAACCCGAGGTACCACTGTAGTCAGGTTGCGTATGGGGTAAGGCTGAGAGGGTACAGCTTGCCCCTAAGGAGTTCATGGCAGGGGGGAGATTCCAAACCAGAGGCTTCCTGAGTTGCAGTTCACCTGCTTAGCCACTAGGCTACACCAGCAGCATTTAAGTAGAGACTATGGTGAGGGCAAGTGTAGAAATGTTGGCTTTGATAACTTAGGGTTCATTTACATTTGCCCCACAGCTTTCCCCCAGGAAAACCCACTCATTAGCACTCAATGACAGGAAACGGCAATTTGGGTTTTCTCTGGGTTGACGTTTGCTCCTATTTAAAGCTAAGGAGAGGGTTTACCCTGGGAAAGGAGTGGGTCAAGGGAGAAATTGATTGGATCTGTGCTTTTTAGAATCGGGGACGATCCCTTACTTGCTATAAAAGGAAGAGGGCAAATGAGGACTGTTTCTACTACAGGTAAAATGCCCAGTGCTAATGCCTTGTCAGGACCCCTGAAGGTGACATTCAGGTTTGCATGCCGGCTGTCATCTCTTCTTCCCTGTCAAAGCAGCCGAGGCTGAACCCAGGGCAGAGCCCTGCCCCACAGCACAGGTGCCTCCAAGTGCGGAAGTCTGCTTTTCCCACAGCAATGAGTGGCAGCCATCCTGGCAGCCCTTTCACCTTCGCAAAATGTCCAGGCCTTGAAATGGAGAAGGTGTACTTAACTATTTCCCTGTTTCCACCTGAAACATTCTCCCCACCTTTTACCACCCCGCAGGGTTCCAGCTCCAAAAATAAATATTGTTTATTTTCACCGCTCTGTCGGAATTGTTTGCTGTGTGGATGCCAGCCCCGCATTTACTTTCCTGCAGTACTCCACCCCTTTCTGAACAACCAGGTGTTTCCTGGCCCTGGAGATGTCTCACAAGCCGTGCTCCCCAAGAAGTAAAAGGCGTGCACTCTGTCCTACCTCCAAGACAACTGCCACCTTGCCTCCGGCCAGACCCAGGAGCAGATGGGTCATGTGTGCGTAGCATTCTGGAGTCACGAGGCATCCGCCCAGCGGGTCCCCTCGAGCAGCGTCAAAGCCAGCAGAAACCAGGACCAGCTCTGGATTGAACTGCAAATGGAAGAGGCCCTTAATTCCCCTTAATAACAACAATAATAAAATATTTGTACCCCGCCCATCTGACTGGGTTGCCCCAGCCACTCTGGGCAGCTTCCAGCATATATAAAAACATTAAACCTTAAAAAGCTTCACTATACAGGGCTGCCTTCAGATGTTTCCTAAATGTTTTAACATCTTAACATCTGATGGCAGGGCATTCCATGGGGGGAGAGGCGCCACTACCGAGAAGGCCCTCTGCCTTGTTCCCTGTAGCTCCACTTCTCACTCTTCCTCCCTGGCCAGAGATGCAATACAGAAGAATGCTGCTCCCTCAGCCCCTTTCTAACTCCTCATATCTATTAGGCATATGCATCTACCTGGGACAGGGACGGCCCTCCAAAGACTCCAGCTCCCGTCAGCCCCAGCTAGCACTGTCAATGGTGAGGACAATGTCCAGCCCAGCACAAATACTGCTTGCACTTAACCAAGCTGGTGGCCCACCCCATTTTCCATTGCTGCAGTCTAGCACTTGTTTACAAGTCTGAAAGCACATCTACACTACTAACTAGTTGACCGATCATTTTGTCTTTCCGGCACTTATAAAGGAGCAGTGCTGGTTAGGAGCCTCTTAGCAGCATTGTAACACCCTCCCCAAACTACCCATTCATTGGGAGAAGCCATGGCTGCTCCTTGAGGAAGGGCCATAGATCAGTGGTTAGAGCATTGGCTTTGCAATCCCTTGCATCTCCGGATAGGGCTGGGAGAGACTGCTGCTGGAAACCCTGGAGAGCTGATGTCAGTCAGGGCTCATCCACACATCCCTCTTCCCTTGCTGCTTTCCCCCAGAGAATGCCATTCTTTAGCGCTCAATCGGAACAAATGGCCATCAGGTTTTACAGCTAAAGAGTGGGTTTTCCCTGCAAAAGGAGCAGGACAAGGGGAAAACTGCTCGGATCTGTGCTTTCTAGGCAAGGGACAAGCGGAAGTGTGGATAAGCCCTTCCTATGTTCCTGTGTTGAACCCTATCCGTGCCACAAGCCTAAGAGTGTGCCTGGGCTTCCAGGAAGTGGAGACTGGCACCAATCCACCCTCATTCCCTGCCCCAAACATTGCCTACCTCATAGCTGACAGGCATGACTATCTGATGGAAGGCAGCCAGGTACTCAGGGTCCCCCATGCGGGGACAGTTCCAAGGCACGTTAAGGGTGAAGCCCTCCCCAGGCCCCAGGCCCACACGATCATAGTCTGCATCCTCGGAGGTGGGGAAGAAAGTTCCATTGTCATAGCGGTGGAGGGAGACGTACAGGACACTAATTTGGAAGAAGGCGAAGCAATCAGAGAAAGCGGGCATTGCAGCTTCACTTGCCCACCCCCCAATCACAAATGAGGATGCCTAGGAATTGCACAGCCCCAACTGGATGATCAAGGGCAGAATAGGAGTGCAAGACATTCCTGGTCCCACCACTGAGCTCAGCCTCGAAGGGGCTTACACACCTCCCACCTCTTTTCTTGTGGCCTCTGCCACCTTGCACAGATGACTTGTGCCCTTTCCCTTGCTATTCTGCTCTATTGACCATAACAAAATAAATCTACATACATTTCTAACCAGAAGTTTTAAAGTTTGTTTAAAAGACAAAACTCTGTTCAGCAGGAAGAAAAAGCACGAAGGCTATTCTTGCCTGTTGTTGCTTAAAACTTTTATTTCTTAGCAATTAGTTTTTAGCTAATAAATAATTGATAAAAACTGGAAAAAAGAAACTGTGCCAACAAAAATGGAATGGCAAGACAAACTGTTAGAGTATATTGAGCTGGCTAGATTAACAGAGGCAATTAGAGATCACACTAGACAAGAGTTTCAAAAAGCATGGGGAAAATGCAGAGAATACTTCACAAAACAGTGCCATAAAATACATACCAGGACTTGTTTTGATTAATGTCTGCAGGAGACTTTGTGGATATTTAAGTTATAATTAGAAAAATCTTAATAATTATTCATAAAGGAAACAGTTTATAAGAAGTAAATAAGGAGGCCAGATACGGGTTAAAGGAAGTCTTTTATTTGGTTGTTTGTATTGCTGTATGTTATGCTCATTGTATGTTATGTTCACATTTAATGAGGGTGGATTTCTGTATTGGGGGGGGTTATGTTATGTTGTAAATAAAATTTCCAATAAAAATTTAAATTTTTTTTTAAAAAAAACTTTTATTTGTGATGTTACTTGATGCCTCTGTTTTTAACATTGCCTTGCATGTTTTTTTAAAAAAATGGAAGGCAGGATTTAAAACATTTTAATGAATAAGTAAATGGTTCTGTGATCCACATGGCTTATTCCAGCTATGCATAAGGTGGGTGAGTTTCTTGACGCAGAGTGTTAAGGCTTTTTGCCCCATTTCACAGCCGCCATTGAAAAGGAATTAGAACTACCCATCTCAAGCCTGAAGCTGAGTGGAAATCCCCACCACCAGACCTGCATCTGCAGCCTTGGAAGAGATTTAGTGCCAGAGTTTCTTTGAACAGGGGAGATGGGAAGCAAAATACGTTACCTGGGATCATCTTCAAACATGTGCTGTGTCCCGTTGCCATGGTGAACATCCCAGTCTAGTATCATCACCCTGAGGAAAAGAACCAGAATTGGACAACCAGCTACAGTGGTGCCTCGCAAGTCGAAATTAATTCGTTCCGCGAGTTTTGTCTTCTTGCGATTTTTTTCGTCTTGCGAAGCACGGTGTCGGGAAAGTTTTGGAAAAGCTTCAAAAATCACCAAAGTCTTTAAAAACCTCAAAAAGGCTACCACACCGCGTTCTATGAGTTGCTCCTCGAAGTCAAGTCGCAACTGTATTAACGGTGTTAAGAAAAAGGAAACAAACTTGCAAGACGTTTCCGTCTTGCGAAGCAAGCCCATAGGGAAAATCGTCTTGCGAAGCAGCTCAAAAAACAAAAAACCCTTTCGTCTTGCGAGTTTTCCGTCTTGCGAGGCATTCGTCTTGCGAGGTACCACTGTACATCTATGCTAGAAACTGAGTTGCAAATAGGCTGCCAGGCCACCAGCACTACAGTTCCCAGGACTCCTGGTGGGGGACAAATAATAACAGCTAAACCTGCTGAAGTTTGTAGAACGAGATGCACTCTGTGGGGCTATGCAGATAGACTGATGGAGCAAATCTGCAACTGCCCTCAGGTGCTTCTCTACATCCCTGACCTCATCACCAGCAAGCCGCGCCCGCTCTCAGCACACAACTGCAATGCTGCTGTCAAGTGGCTAGTCCTCTCTGGGTACTCTGTGCCTCTTGGGAGTTAGCCAGGTGCCACTGTACCTCATAGGACGTCCAGCAAGGCGCTGTGCATATCGTGCTGCCAAGGCCACAGAGTTGAAGAAGCAGAAGCCACAGGCGGTGTCTGATTCAGCATGGTGCCCAGGGGGCCGGACAATGGCCACAGCGTTTTGCACCTGATGCCCCAAAGGAGGAAAAAGTGAACTTGGATCAGTACCATAGTGTCAGGGCTGGAGTCAGGCACAGGTCAGCAACGAAACAATATTTCAATGTATCGTTGGTATTTAACTCCTAGCAAATTAGCTAAGATGTACAAATCAAAGTCTAAAATGTGCTGGAATTGTAAAGAAAAAGAGGGTACTTTTTATCATGTGTGGTGGCCATGTACAATGATAAAAGACTTCTGGGAAATGATATATAATGAACTGAAGAAAATGTTTAAAATAACTTTTCCTAAGAAACCAGAAGCCTTTCTTTTAGGTATTATAGGACCAGAGATCCTGAAAGACCAGACAAAACTATTTATGTATGCAACCACAGCTGTGCAGACTCTTAGCCCAGCAACGGAAAGATAGTATAAATCAGATCAAAGAATAATGAAAGACAAAACTGATGACCTATGCCAAGAAGGCAAAACTTACAGGAAGAATTAGAAACCATGAGGAGGAGGTCCTTAATAAAGAATGGGGAAAGTTTATAATTTATTTGAAAAGCTATTGTAAACAATTACAAACACTAGAAGGATTGACAGAAAACTTGTAGTAAAAATTTGAACTATGGATTGACAAAGGATTTATAAAAATAGAGTTATGACAGAGATGCAGAGGGGAAAATCATTACATTAAGATCTACAATGGGGGGGAATCAGAAGGGATTATACAGTGGTACCTCAGGTTAAGTACTTAATTTGTTCTGGAGGTCCGTTCTTAACCTGAAACTGTTCTTAACCTGAAGCACCACTTTAGCTAATGGGGCCTCCTGCTGCTGCCGCGCCGCCGGAGCACGATTTCTGTTCTCATCCTGAAGCAAAGTTCTTAACCTGAGGTACTATTTCTGGGTTAGCGGAGTCTGCAACCTGAAGTGTATGTAACCTGAAGTGTATGTAACCCGAGGTACCACTGTATATGCTTATGTAAAATTGAAAATGCAAAAAATATTTTTTTTAAAAAAATACATAAATTTAAAAGTTAATTCTTTATTGAAGGAAACAAACCACAGCTCCAGCCTAGTGGTCTCAGCAACTCTTTCTAGGAGGTTTTGCCCTGATGAAGCAGTTGCAAGGACTGAAGGTCCTTGCCTTCCCAGTGCCCACTAGGACTCCTCCTCTCCAGGGTCTTTCCCTGAGTCCCCCACCACTCAGTCCTGCCTTCAGGCCTCCAGGATGGCCTGGAGGCAAGACTGGCCACCCCTGCCCCACTAGGCTGCCAGCACTCACCTGCCCAGAGAGCACGGCCTCTACTGCACTGAACGCGGAACCAGCTGCCAGCCGAGCGCACTCATAGGAGCTGGCGCAGATGAAGATGGAATTGTACTGGTCGCCCTGGCGATGCAGGTCACGGGGCTTCATGGCCGCTGTTGACTTCACCGTCTCCACATAGGCCAGGCTGCAGAGAGGAGACGCAAGACAGAGTCGGCACCCCCACGGGAAGAGGGCGGCGCCTCAGAAGTTACTAGCCCGCCCTTTCCGGGACACCCACCCTAGCCCACTCCCAGAAGCTGCAAAGGCTCTTGCAATCTGGGGGTGCATCTCCACCTGTGGCACATCCGCAGCTCCTCTTCAGAGGCGAGCCGGGCCGGGAGCCGGCAGCACCTTTCCGTCAGGCGAAGCTCCCCGTGGCGCTGGAAGATCCGGGAGACTCTCTGAGGCAGCTCTGGATGCTGACTATGGAAGAGAGGGAGAGCTAAGGGGGGGCCGGGAGCCGAGACTCGGGAGGAAAGTGGAGGACAAGGGGGTGTGGGAACCTGCCCCCCAACCTTCATGGGAGAGATGGCGAGGACTTCACTTGCCCACTTTTTAGGGACTAGCTATGTAATTCCCCCCTTCCCCCCCTCCACAAATAGCCACCTTGGGGGGGTGGGAATATAGATAGATAGAGAAGAAGGAGAAGAAGAAGAAGAAGAAGAAGAAGAAGAAGAAGAAGAAGAGAAGAAGAGTTTGGGGGGGAGGAGGAGAAGAAGAAGAAGAAGAAGAAGAAGAAGAAGAAGAAGAAGAAGAAGAAGACGACCTGCTTTATCTCTACTCTAAGGAGTTTCAAAGCGGCTAACAATCTCCTTTCCCTTCCTCCCCCACAACAAACACTCTGTGAGGTGAGTGGGGCTGAGAGACTTCAAAGAAGTGTGACTAGCCCAAGGTCACCCAGCAGCTGCATGTGGAGGAGCGGAGACCCGAACCCGGTTCACCAGATTACGAGTCTACCGCTCTTAACCACTACACCACACTGGCTCTTGAGACCCCATTCATCCCTACATTGTGGTCCTGATCTGGAAGCGCCACCTCCCCACATCCTTATTTGCATACATAAGAAAAAAGCTCTTGGGGGAGTGAATGAGAGTCCCCCCCCACACACACAATAGAAGCTTTCTTTTCTGGGCAACTGCTGGTGCAGCTGCAACCTTGGCAGTAACCCTGAAAGTATTATCGTTCTCCCATATTGCATGGGCATCGAAAGGGTGTATGTGTGGGATGCTCCTGCTGAGAGGACAGTAGTTAACCCTTTCCAGAGCCAACCCCCTGCAACTGTATTGGGGCTTGGGGGCGGGGAGAGAACTTTCCATTGGCTCCCACAGGAGGCTTTGTTCAAGCCTAACTGCAGCACAGGATGGTGGCAGAGGAACCACAAGCCTTGCATTAAAAGCTATGCATGGAATTGATCCCTACCTGTCCCACATGTTGTAATGCTCCGTCATCTTCTCATCATAGACCAGCCCAGTGCAGGAAGGGGGCCGGGGTAGCATCAGTTCAGCCGCTGACTTGGACAGGATCTCGGCTGCTGGCAAGGGGTGGCCTGGTGGAAAAACTGTGCCCGCCTCTCCTCCATTCTCCCGAGGCACATCAGTACCTGAATCATTATGGAGGGAAGGCAGGGAAAAGTAGGGGATTTGGGTTCCTCTGCTTCCTGGAAGGAGCTGCAGCCTGTGGGGCTAAGAAGACAGTCTGGCCCAGGATATCTCATTGATTGAGGCAGAGCCACCAAGAGCCACAAGCAGCATGTACTGCCACAAGGGCTATTGCCCCCCACTTCCTGGCAATAATAAAACACATTAAAGAGTTAACCATTTGATGCCTTTTCATGACACCCCAAATCAAGCTGTCTGAGGCAGGGCCAGCCCTGGCATGAAGCAAGCAGAACCAAAGAAGACCAGGTTTGTTTCTTGCTACTTTAGAAAGAGGGCAAAACAAAGGCAGAGGCTGCGGAACTCACTGGTTCTCCGGAGGTTCTTCCAGTACTTGCTGTGAACTGCAAGGGTCTGGGAAATGGAGCAGAGGGCACTGTTGGGAGGGAAAAGTGAAGGCGGCCATCAGGAAACGCTCAGGCACAATGCTTGGGAGGGGGCCCAATGCACTCGCTCTCTTACCTGGCACACGGGGTAAGAGGAGACTCCAGCAGAGGACAGGGGTCTCCTAAAAGAGCCTTGAGGACTGCGCAGGTTCCCTCTGCCAGGGACTGGAGATTGTAGCCACCCTGAAAAGGAGGAGGAAAGGGAGAAGATAAGACGGCCACAGTCCCTTCCCTGGGAGAGCAGCTAGATCTGTACGGGAGCCGCTCTCCTTCGCCCAGGGACAAGATGGAAAGTGTGCATTGCTCACCTCCAGAGACAGAACCAGCTTGCCTCCAGACAGCGGCATCAGCAGATGTGTCAGGTGAGCAAAACATGCTGGCGTGGCTGACATCTCCCCCTACGGATGCAAAAAAAAAGTGGGGGATTTTGCTCTCATATCTTACTTTTGGGGTACAGGCTGACTGGGTGGGGAGTGGTTTCTACTAGAGGATATTATAAAAAACCCCAGAAAAAATATGAGGGTCCCTCTATGGGCTGGATACACAAGGCTAATTAACACATTATGTTTTAGGCCCCATAAAAGCAATCTAACCAATGTGCCCTCCAGATGCCTGATAGTCAGGGATAACAGGAGCTGGAGTCCAGCATCACCTGGGGGAGAGCCAAGCTGGGGACAACTGCTAGAAAGGATGGAGGGCCCCTCTGCCTCCTAGTCAGATGGAAGTGCCACCATGTTGTCTACCTAGAGCTCAAGCATGCCTCAGATCTAGATAAACAGCACGGAAGAAGCAGGGACCAGAGGATTTGCAGAATGAGAGGTGGGGAGAAGATTCCTTCCCTCCCTCTTCCTGCCCCTGCAATCCTTCACCCCAAATCACTTTCACCAACACGGAAGAACATGAGCATGCCCAGCATGCACACACGCACCCCCACACCCACCCACCAATCACAGCTTGAATGAAAAGCTGAAGCTGGGAGAGCAATCTGCTCCTTCCCACCTGGTGCTAGTAGCTCTTCACTCAAGCTGCTCACCACTGAAGTTGGAACCAAGAGGGGGAGAACGGGGCTTGCCGCCTGGCCTCATCTTGTCACTAGTGTTCACAAAGTGCAAAGCGGCCAGAGAATCACTTCATTTCCTGTTCTCTCTTTTACGTCTTCAAGACAGGAGACAAGAAGCCTTGGCTATCAGCTGGTCTGGGGGATTTAGGACAGCAGGGTGGGAAGAACAGCACAGCTATGTTGAGCAGATGCGGTGGAGAAGAGAGTCTGTCCAGCATTGCAGATTGTTCCCTGCAACGTGCAGCAACAGGGCTGGGCACATTCTAAGGCAAAAAGTTCCCTCTTACAGGGCAAACGTGCAGCCCAACAGACTCTGCATGGAAAATGTGAGCCCAGGACACATTCCTAAATCCTCTTTGGGGTAATAGGTGTTCTGCAAGGAATCTGTGTAGAATGGTTCCCTTCAGATAGAAGCCTGAAAACTGCTGAGGAGGGAGGGCTGTTCTGTAGAGTTTGCGAAAGACATTTTCATACCTTGGGGTCACCGATTACTGAGTCAAAACCAGCAGCAACCAGGACCAACTGGGGCTGAAACTGCAAGAAACAAACAACCCAAAAGGAAATGGGTAAGCCAAAGATCTCACTTGATCTCCCATTAACCAAACAATTCTACTTCCCAATCCTCACCTCCAAGGCCACAGGCAGCAGGATATGCAAAAAGGCAGAGAGGTAGTCAGCATCCCGCATCCCTATCTGGAGGGACAGACAGAGCACATTAAAACTCTCGAAGGAGAGCCCTAATCCATAAGCAACTCATTGAAACACAAACAGACACACAAAAAACCTTGTCTTAGAGCTGCCACTATTGAGTTTGGGCCAGTAGCCCAAAACACACAGGTAAATCACTCTACAGGTAAAGGGCACCCCACCCACTAGCATTTCCTACCTGATTCCAGGGCAGGTTGATGTTGTAGCCCTCTCCCCGACCTCTGCCCACAGCATGACTGTCAGAGTCTAAAAGGTGGGGCCAGAAGCTGCCCCCTTCATAGCGATGGATGGAGAAATAGAGGATGCTATGAACAGAAACCATGGCAGATACAGAAGTGAGGAGAAATATTGCCCATCGGCCAAGCTCCAGCACTCTTAGCCCAGTTGGGCTACCAGCCTGCAGCCCATATTTAACTAGACCACCCCTTCCTTTGCAAATTCCTGTTCACCCCCAACAGTCTTGTCCAATACCCTCTGATCCCTTTTATTCTGCACCTGGGATTGTCCTCAAAGAGGTACTGGGTGCCTTGTCCATGATGCACATCCCAGTCAACAATAAGCACCCTAGAAGGGAAAGAAACATGAAGGGTCACCAATAATAAGAGAGAACTACACAGAGCTCAGCTTTCTGAAAAAAGAAGAGTTACCATCAATGTTCACTGTCAATGACATCCCTCCAATGAGTCCTAGATATTGCAAAATTTGGGATAAGATGCCACCAGTATGCTGATGAAACCCAGCTCCATTTCTCTGTAATTATTAACATTTTTATTTCTAGTATTCTGGCATCCCTTAATTACTGCAATGCTGCTTTTAACAGCCCTGTAGGCCAATATTATTACTTCCCAACAGGATAGATGGATTTTCTGAAGCTGAGAGAATACAGGCTAAGCCTTAGGACAGCTAATGGGTTCGTGGCAAAGATGACATTGGAACCAGGGGCTTCTTAGCTGCCATGCTACCCACAATTTGACATAAATGTACCAGCTGCACTTTACTTTAAAAGAAATGGCAAATTGTTACTGAAACTTCAGCTCATGATAATTCTACACTCCCTTTCTGCACAAGTACAAGGCGGGTGACTGCTGTATTTTCTACAAAGCAGCTACAACTTGCCATCAAGAGCAGCCATGTTTCTGTGTAAAAAGGGAGGCAAAGATCCACTGCTGAAAATGTCTGGAAAAGGGACATTAGAAGGCTCCTCTTTGGTAGATTAATTGCCTTGATCCTCGCTCAACAGAGGACCAAAGTCCTGGATTGCTCTCCTATGAGAAAGGTTTGAGGATACATGCTGTAAAAATGAAAGAGTTCATTTAGGAGGCCTGCCTCTATGCACCTCTGACGTGGGTCCACGATACTCACCGCTCCACTCCCAATTTTTGCCGCGCATATTGGGCTGCGATGCCTACATTGTTGAACATGCAGTAGCCATCCATCTTGTCACATTGAGCGTGGTGTCCAGGTGGCCTGAAACCAAAAAGGTAACATTGGCTAACCCCAGAATGAGAATGTCACATCAGGAAGAGAGACTTGGTGATTCCAGAAAGTGTCCAGCCTTATACTTTGGTGGGCCTCCAGGGGATGTTCCCAAAAGTGTTGGAGACATCATCACATGCCTTCTCACAACTGTCTTGTGAGAAAGCACCCCACCCCGCCCCAAATCAAACAACAAAAAGGATCCTTGTTTCTGCTATACCTGACCAGAGCCAGGCCGTTACGCAGCTTCCCAGCCAGCACCTTCTCCACAAGTTGCAGGACAGAACCAGCAGCAAGGCAGGCACAGCGGTAGGAATTCTGGGGTAAGGGAAAGAGAGCCAGGTTAACAGATGCTATACCCTGCATCCCATAAACAGGCTACCCACTCAAGAGCTTAAGGGTCCTCTTGCCACCTATAGATTTTCACCATACATCCTCAAGGGATTCTCTCAGGCTCCATAGACACACCGTACATTTAAAGCAATCCCTTCACCCACCCAAAGAATACTGGGAAATGTAGTTCATCCCTGATAGCTGCAACTCCCATCACTCTTAAACTACAGTTCCCAGGATACTTTTGGAGGTGTGTGCGCTCTAAATGCACTTTAAATATATGGTATATATGCAGCCTCAGACTGCAAGCAAATGCAGTACGAAGGAGGGGAGAGGGATGCTCTTGCAAAGGAGTGATTAAATTCAACAGAAGCTTCCAGAGCCACAGCAGAGGTGTCAAGTGCTCTGGGTGAGGAAACAGCAACTCTGATCATAAGAGCTAGAAACTTGCTCTACTTTTTATTTTTAAAAAAGCTCAGATGACTCGATTGTTGTTCAGATACCAAGTGCCATGGGGAACGTACAGAGCTTTGTGGATACTCACTGGGTGCAGATAGACAGAATCATACGTGTCCGACAGAGATCTCAGCTCAGCCTCACTCATGGTTTCAGTAGATTTCATCAGGGCCAAGTACTCGGGGCTGTTAAAAATGTGGGATAACCAGCCTCATATAACCATCACGCTTAAGTCAAATTATAATGGGTCAATACTATAGAAAAAGCTATCCTGCCAGGCTTAGCAAGGTCACTTCTCCTATCTTGGGAGAAAATGGGTAATCAAGCCTATTGTTCAATCTCCAACCTACCTGAGAAGCTCAGTGAATAAAAAAGTTTGAGCTGGGTGCTCCAGCTCAGACTGTATGGCTCCAACAAGGCTCTCTTGAGTTTACCAATAGTTTAGGAACTTTCACCACTTTGGAACTAAGCCAAGCTTTACTGCCTGTGCAACTTTTTCTGAATGCTGAAACACATGAACCTGACCTTTGGAAAGTTTGTAAGTCAACCTTTTTTTTAAAATAGTTTTTTATTAAAGATTTTCTTATGTTATAAAACAAACAAATAAACAAGGAAAAGTACATATAGGCTCTTCCAGTGTCTAGTTATGATGTTTCTAGCTGCTGAGAGTGTGACATGAGTTCCTCGTCATGTGCATGTCTGTTGTTTTCCTGGAAGGTATTTAATTGAGCTAGTTCTGGAGTTGCTTCTATTAGTTGGTCTCTAACACCCACAAAAGCTGGCGCTGATAAACCAAGGAACTTCATCTAAATGCTGGAGAGGCTGACCCTCCATAGGCATATACCTCCACATGTGGTGGAAAATAAACCATTTTCAACTTACTAAACATGTGGTCTTTTTCTATGCTAGGAGAAAGAACTTGGAAGGACATATTTTAAAGGTCTAACAGCCTATATTTCCTTGTTTTACTTTGCAGCATATTTTATGATTTTAAGTCTCTGCTGGGTTCCCCCAACAAAAAGTACTTGCCCCAGATGTGGATCTTGGCATCCAGGAATTCTCCTTTCTATATACTCATTTTATCCTGAACCAACAAAAAAATGCAACGCATATCAGCAGGACCAGGCTTTCCAATGAGGCACAATCTCCATATCTCCTCTACAAGTCCATGAACCAGCTCCCTGCCCACCCCCACCCTACAGCTCGAACATCTGCTTTTACCTGTGAACCAAGAGGATTTCTTCCTCAGAAATTTCTTGAGCCTGTAAAGAAAGAGATGAACGTTTAGTACCTGGGGAAAATATTCTGGATTTCTCATTCCCCAGCTATTATTTATTAGATTTTACCCCGTCCTTCCTCCAACCAGCTCAGGGAGGTTTATGTAGCTCTTTCCCCTCCTGCTTTCATCCTCACAACAATCCTGCAAGGTGGGTTAGGCCAAGAGTGAGTGACTGGCCCAAGGACACCCAGGTGAGCTTCACAGTAGATTGAGTGAGCATTAGAACTCAGGTCTCTCCAAGTCTTAGTCTGATATTCTCAGTCACTACACTACACTGACTCTCAACCCTTCTGCCCACCCCTGAGTTCCTCTTTGCCCCCACCTGCTCCCCTTCTTCTCACCTCAACTGGGATGCAACGTTCCAGCAGTCCACATTGCAGCAATTTATCTCGTATGGCCACCAGCCGTTCTGGACACTCTGGGAAACTGGGGAAAGAGGTAACAAAGAGGGGTGTAGGATAAATCAAAAACACATTAAGTTGGAGGATGGTAGAAGGATCGGGATGCCTTGGGTCAACAAACAAACTAAGGAGTCAGGAAGGATTTGGGTGGCGGGGGTGTTGCAGGGAGATTCTCACCCTGAGAAGAAAGGGAGAAATAGCAAAAACATCCAACCTGAACAAAATACACACAGGCACAACTGATACCTCTTGACCCAAGGCAGACTCTGATGATGTCTGATTAGAGGCAAGTTGGTAATCTTTATCAAGATCCCAGACCTTTAATCTGACAGATTAAAAATTACAGCAAAACAAGCAGGGTTGGGTAAGGAAAGCCTTATTATCAAGACTTTTTAAACCACCATCATCATAAAGGAAGGAGCACAATGAAAGAAGACTGGAATTAAAGTGGAAGGGAATGAGATATTAGGGTTGCAGATTATGGATGGCAGTGGGGAGAACAGGTGAGGAGAGTGAACAACAGACTACAATCAGAAGCTACTGTTGAGCAGTCTGAAGTGTGAGACTTTTGAAACTGGAATAGATGTGCAGAAGATGGCAATTTTCAGAGAATCTAGTAGCTTACGAAGACACATGGCAACTCTGAGCTTTTATGGTAATGGATAAAAGCTCCTGCTTAAAATATGGGAAACTCAATCCTCAGTGCTTCTCAAACAATTCTCTAATCATTCATTTATTATATTTCAAATATATAGTTTACTGCTCTGTCCCTAACTAGGCTTGATGGCAATAGATTTATAAATAAAAGGAAACCAGCAGCCTTCCAGATGTGGCCAGACTACAGCTCCAGTCACCCCTGACCACTGGGTCATGCTAGCTGGGGCTGATGGGAATAAAGGACTGTCCACCAGGGGTACTATCTTGCCCTCAGGACTGTGGGTGCCCACCGCCGTAACGCGGACATGCGACATCACACACACACCTGCACATAGTGCTTGTGACATCACATGCATGATGCACAATGGGGAGCTCCTCCAAAAACGTAATGTGACGTTGCATGCCATGCATGTGATGTCACAAGCACTATATGCAGGCGCATGTGTGTGACGCTGCATGTCTGCATTGAGACAGCCACCACCAGCTCCTCTTCCTCCTCCTTTCCGCAGGGAGGGGCTTGGAGACAGGAAGAGGATGCCCTGTTTGCTGGCTGCAGAGGGTGGAGCTGAACTGCTTCTATCTTGGATGCAGCGCTGCAGAGGCTGCCTGCCTTTCTCTGGCTTTCCTCATTGATATTATTGTGGGTGCCCAAGCACCCACGACCACCTGGAGCTGGCTCCTATGCTGTCCATAGAGATGCCCTGCTCGAATGCTCCCATGTGGAAAAGAAGCACATACCCCAAGATTATTATTATAAATTGGGGGGAAGAATTACTCCAGGGAGAGTTGCTGAACTCTTCCCCCGGTACACTAGTACTTGTAGAGAGGGTTGTATTGTGGAAGGTGGGGAGGGGGTTGCACTTGGAGGACCATTCAATTATGCAAAACACACACACACACACACAAATTCCGCTACCTTCAGCCTGAACTGGTACAATCCGAGTTGGGGCGAGTGGGAAAGGGCTGCTTTGTTTCACTGATTCTAGAAAACGGTCTCTCCATTGTGGGAGTGGTTGACAGCCTCTTTGGCATGGCCAAATCTCATGCTACTCCAGTAATATCTCTTGGAAGGAACCAGTCTCTTGCTTTATCAGAGTTACCTTTCCCACCTCACATGGATGTGGCTCCCAGAATGCTGTGGCAATTTTCGAAACAACCAAAATGGTAGAGGAGAAAGAATCTGCGTAGGAATCAGGAGATAGGTGCTTGCGGGTAGTCACACAAGTATTGTGGAGTGGCCGGCATGGTGCCATGCCCATGCTCTCCTGACAGCACTTACTGGCATGATGCAGGGTTAAGGTGAGGGCTGTGCAAGTGTTGAGCGGAAGGCGCCACCTGCGCAACCACAGAGCCTCACCCTCAGGAGGGAAACAGTGCAGTACCATCCCACTGCACCAGTTGCACCTGCCAAGTACAAAACCAGATTCTAGATCAGGGATGCAAAACTTGTGGCTTTCCAGGTGTCGCTGGGCTCCAACTTGCATCAGCCCCAGTCAACGTGGCCAACGGAACGACTGCCCATTAGCATCTGAAGGGCCACAGGTTCTCTCCCAATCTCTGTTGCGCTGGATTGCAGCCTAAATGATGAAATTGCAACTGCTTCTCTCCAAGTGTATGAAACACAGACCCTACAGAGGAAGACTATCATGAGATTTGCACTGGAGCGGAGGCCAAGAATGCAGGGGCAACACAGTGGCCGGATATTAAGGGCAAGAGGGGTAAACCAAGAGGGAGAAGAAAAATAGTGGAGAGTGTGTGGTGGAACTGTGTTCAGACTACACTGGAAGTGTGAGTCAAGTGGGATGAAATAATAATATAAAAAAAACACAACAGCATGGATGTACAGGCAGCACAAAGGAGGATAAGTTCAGGATTATATATTTACCCACATCCAAACCAAGGGTACTTTTCCCCCCCTGCCGGGAAAAAAATAATCAATGGTTTTGGAATTAGGAAACATACATTAGATTCCCAAACTGCTTGCAGCAGAGTGCATAATGGGGGAAACATAGTCTAGCAGGGCCTAAGGGTAACATTATCCACATATATCTTAGTATGTGTTTTCAAACCAACAAACTTTCCCCCCAGCTTCCCCCCTCCCATTCTCTTTCAAGGCATTCAAACATCAGTAGAAGCCATCATAAGAAGGTTGACAGCGAGTTAACAAGGGCATATGGAGTTCCTAAAAGCTGCAATGGGGGGGGGGCGTGCGTGCTTTGGAAGTGAAATAATGCACACTGTTTTTGGTCTGGTATACATTGTCCTCCCAGGATTGAGTTTGGGGAAGGAGGCTGAGGGAAGAGAGAGAAACCTGCTACACCAGTTTGCAGCAGCAACAAGCAGTACAAGGGGCTCATTAGCTGGTATTTCGGGCATCATCAATCCCCTTTCTCAATATTCCTGGAGCTGATATTCTCTACTGACCCACCTCCAAATATGATGCCAAATAAGCTTTCAAAAGCACAGCATGCAAGCATCATTTTAAATTTTAAAAAAGGCAGGCAGCCCCCTTATGTTGAGAATCAAAACTGAAGATTAACATTGCTATCCTAGACATGTCTACGCAGAAATAAGCCACATCAGCTTCAGTGGGTCTTACTCCCAGTTAAGTTTGTATGGGATTGTGGCCTAAGTCAATGTATGACTTGGAAGCGAGAATGTCTGTCTCCTGAAGTATGAAGTGGGGAAGGGGAGATTCACCTTGCAGAAGAAAAACACACACATCCCAACTCCTGATTTTAGGCATGCCTATATAATATACCCCATATTATATCAGGGTTTTAGAGAGGAGGACACTGAAACTGGGGCTAGAGGCAAGGAATAACTACATGGTCTGAGGAAAGTGGTTACAGCTGTGACAATTGTTTGGTCTGAAATTGGTGACATCAGATTTTAGAAGCGATGCATCAGTCCATCTAGATCAAAGCTGGGGAACCTGTAGGCCTCTAGGTGTTGTTGGACTACAACTCCCATCATCCCTGACCACTGGCCACGCTAGCTAAGCTGATGGGAGTTTGGGTCCACTGACTTCAGTGCAGGAGGTGGGGGCAGACACAGGTTCCCTGGTGTCAATCTAGACTGCAGAGCAGCTAATGTAGATAGCCTCAGTTGGCTCTTTCCCTGCTTGTCTTTTGACAGGAAACACACACTCTCTCTCTCTCTCTATATATATATGGGGGGTATGAGCATTTATAATAACTTGTCATAACATAAGAAGTGGCAAAATTCATTACTTTTTGCCTGAAATAGGCTCCAATTTCAAATGGAGACTCTCTTTGGATTTGGACATAGCCATAAAAGAGTTGTTTGATATAAAATATAATTATGAAAATTTTATGCAACTTAGGTCAGGATCAGCTCCATCTTAATCATGTTGGTTCACACAGCATGATGGTCTATTGAGTCCAATGGGATGGGTGCCCTGATCGATCGGATCAACGTCCAACGCTCGGTTTCAGACAGTGGCCAATAAGCGGCCTTTCGGGAAGCCTGCAAATGGGGCAGGAAGGCTTCTAACATTCAGCTTAAGAACATAAGGAGAGTCTGTTGGATCAAGCCAGTGGGCTATCTAGTTCAGCATCATGTTCTCATGGTAGCCAGTCAGGCACCTATGAGAACCCCACAAGCAAAACCTAAGCACAACTGCACTCTCCCCTCCTGTGGCTTTCAGCAATTGGTATTTGGAAGCATCCTGCCTCCAGCTGTGGAGCCAAAGATTAGTAGCTTCCTTGTATGGCCCTGGGTTCTAGTTTCATGAGAGGGAAGAAGTCCTGAAATCTAAGCCACTTTACGTTTTCTGGGTACACTCAAGCTATCAAAACAAAGACTTGAAAACCACGCTTTCACTCCTAAATACCTTTCATCCCATGTGCAGTGAAACTGTGTCATCCGTTCATCCCAAACCAGGCCAGTCCCCACTGGTGTAGCACATTCTGTGGTGAGATCCTAGTTAAAAGGCACAATATTGAACAGCGCTGTAAGTAAAGTGTGTGGGGAGTCTCCTTTAACCCCCCAACTGCACGCATATAGCACCACTCCCATCCATCACAATCATGCTTTTCACTTAAAAAGAAATCAGGTAACATCTTAGATACCAATAGCTATGTTTTTCTAAGGTGGCCAATCCTTCAGCAGCTAAAATTGCAGCCCCCTGGGAAAAGAGCAGAGCAGTCTGGTTAACATCCTGAAGAGGAATGCTTTACCCATCAACGTTTTGATGCAGGACTCACTCGTTACACAATATAGGAAGGTACAGGGCACCTTCTCAACAGCACTGAGCCAAAGCATTCTGCCCCCAAGGGCTTATGAGAACAAATGAGGGCATATTTCCAGAAAAAAGACCAAACACAGTCCGTCAGCTCAGTTTCCCCAGCAAGAGTGCCATCTTCCAAGGTCCCTCTGGCCACATGGGTGCATGCATGTGTACACACTCTATCCAAACACTCCCCAATAGCCAATGCTGCTTCCCCAGCACCAAAGCTCACGTTTCCAAGTGCTCAACCTACCAATCGCTGCATGCTTGAGAGCAGATCCTCCGCATCTTTGTTCAACCGCTTGGCCCGCCCTTTCCGTTTGGCGTCTGGCAACCCTCCCTTCTTCTTAGTCTTCCTCTGGGGAAGCCAAGAGGTAGCACAGGGTGTCAACAGAGGCAGCAAGCCTCTCCTCTCTTTCACAGACCAGAAAGGGTAGTTTCTTTTCTTATCCAATCCTGACTTACAAAATTGGACTCTAGGCATTGCCTCCCATCTCCCACCACCCCAATAAGGTGCTCCTTTACCATGGGTGCGCGGGTCTCCAAAGGCGACACAGAAGGGGGTTCTATTATTTGGGCATCTCCAACATCAGAAGCCATTGTGGGGGCAACAAATGCCCCCTATTCCAGCCCTGTGGAAGGGAAAGGAAGAAAAACTCATGTTACAAAGAGAACCTGGAGCTCACATGAGCAACCCATCCATTGCAGCCAACACCCCAAATCCAAACACCAGATTCCCCTCAAACAGCCAGCCATGTCATGCATTTGATGAAGCGGACTGTAGTTTATAAAACACTTATGCCATAATAAAGGTGTTAAGTCTTTAAGACTGCCACAAGATTCTTTTCTGTTCTTACTGACAAAAGAGATTACTTGTGAGGAAAGTACATAGGTCCCATTGAATGGCCTCCTACCCCTTGAAATAACCCCACCCACTAATGTTAGGATTGTCATGGAACCAGAGGCCCATGGAAAGGGAAAACCATCTGCCAAGGAATTGGCCTGCCAGGTCCTATTATCTAGGGCCTGTTTAATAGAGCCTATTAAGATAAGTGTCAGAGTAGGGAATGCCTGTAAAGTAATAAAGAAAATAATGTAATAGGGCTCATTTGGACAGACCCATAAAGAAAATAAGAGGCTAGCTAATGGGGGAGACTCAAGAGGGGGAAATGAAACAATAAACAATATTGGCAGGCATTTAGCAAGAGAGGAAGCACACCAACACCTATTTTACTAAGATCTAAGGGCAGGGTTGTTTAAATGGAGAATTCATTATAGATAGATAGATAGATAGATTCTTTATTGTCATTACACAAGTGCAACATTGCACAAGTGCAACGAAATTGGATGCCATCCCTTAAAAACAACAAAAGCAAAACAACAACAACAACCAAACAAACCACCTTCCAACCACACCCACACCCATCAAACTCCCAGGTCTCCCTATCGAGTTACAGCATTCAAAAAGGCCACAGCTCTTGGATAGAAACTGTTTTTCAGTCTATTTGTCCTTGACTTGATGTTTCTATACCTCCTGCCAGAAGGCAGTAGTGCAAACAGACTGTATCCCGGGTGAGATGGATCCTGCAGGATGTTGTTTGCTTTCCTAAGGCAACGGGAACCGTACAGTTCTTCCAAAGGTGGGAGAGGGTGACCAATAATCCTTTGGGCTGTGGTTATGACCTTCTGGAGCACCTTCCTCTCCCTAGCTGTACAACTGGAGAACCAAGCACAAATACAGTATGTAAGTATGCTCTCTATGGAGCCTCGGTAGAAGGACACCAGCAGTCTCTCACTCAGATTGTTCTTTTTTAAAAGTCTGAGGAAATAAATTCTCTGCTGGGCCTTCTTCACCAGAGCAGTGGTATTTGCGCTCCAAGTCATGCCCTGATCGATAGTCACTCCCAAAAACCTGAATTCCGCCACCCTCTCCACCCGTTCCCCGTTGATATACAAGGGCTGAATGTCCGCCTTTTTTTTCCTGTAATCCACCACCAATTCCTTGGTCTTAGCCGTATTAAGAGCCAGATTGTTCTCTCCACACCAAACACAGAGCCGCTCCACCTCGTCCCGATAGGCGGACTCATCCCCTCCTGAAATGAGCCCCACCACCGTAGTATCATCAGCAAACTTGATGATTTTGTTGCTGGAGTAGATGGCTGTACAGTCATACGTATAGAGAGCATAGAGCAGGGGACTCAACACGCAACCCTGTGGTGAGCCGGTGTTAAGGCTAAGGGCTGTGGACACATGTGACCCTACTCTAACCCTCTGAGAACGTTCTGACAAAAAATCCAAAACCCAGAGACAGGTGGAGTTGGAGAGTCCAATTGTCTCTAGCTTAGACACCAGTCTATGGGGGAGGATAGTGTTAAAAGCAGAGCTAAAATCCACAAACAGCAGCCTCACATAATTCCCCGGCTGCTCCAGATGGGACAGAGCAGCATGGAGAGTGGTGGTGATAGCGTCTTCTGTGGATCTATTTGCCCTGTATGCAAACTGGTAGTTGTCAAAAGTTGATGGAAGACAGGAAATAATATGACGGCGCACCAGTTTCTCAAAACACTTCATGATGATTGGAGTCAGTGCAACTGGTCTGTAGTCATTCAAACTACTGATTGTGGATTTTTTAGGCAGAGGGACAATAGTTGACGACTTCAGGCAGGGTGGGACAGTAGACTGGTGTAAGGACTTGTTGAAGATCTTAGTAAAGACCCTCGCCAGCTGATCCGCACAGCCCTTCAACACCTTTCCAGTGATGCCATCAGGTCCAGCCGCCTTCCTCGGATTCACCATCCTCAATACTTGTCTCACCTCGTGCTCCTCTACAGTGAATGAGGGGCCCCTATGGGCTGGTGGCTGTAATACCGGCGTCTCAGGTGGCTCCTTCTCGAAGCGAGCAAAGAAGAGGTTAAGCTCCTCCGCCAGCAAAGGGTCACCGTCGACAGCGCCAAGGTTAGGTTTGTAGTTGGTAATATGCTGAATCCCCTGCCACATCTGTCTTATGTTGTTGCTCCTTAAATTATCCTCAATCCTCTGCCTATAATCCAGTTTTGCCCGTCGAATACCCCTCTTCAAGTTTGCTCTTGCCACACTGTAAAGCTGCACCTCGCCCGACCTGAAAGCCCTGTTCCTTTCCCGCAGCAGGCACTGGACCTCTCCATTCATCCAGGGTTTTTGATTAGGATAAAACCGGATGGATTTATTTACTGTGACAGTGTCTGTGCAGTGATTGATATAGCACAGAACTGCCGCCGTGTGCTCCTCCAGGTCCGAACGATCGAAAATATCCCAATTGGTTCTCTCAAAACAGTCCTGCAGCTGGTGAATAGCACCTTCAGGCCAGATTTTAACAGATTTTAATATTGTAGGAGCCCGTTTCCTGAGTGGGATATATGCTGGTACCAGGAACAGAGACATGTATACTCTGCTTAAAGTACAGGCCCTGGGGCTCTTGATGCAGCTTAGAACAAGAAACACTAATAAAAACCATTAAAAAACCTCTTCTAACATACACCCCCCAAAGCCAACTCATCAAAAAAGCAACAGGAAATTAAAACTAACTTTATGACACCTCCAGCATTCTAGCAGCTTTCCTAAAGTCATAAGCCTTCTGAAAGTTTATCAGAATTCCAGAGATGGGGAGCCACAGCAGATAAGACCCTGCATAATCAGCAGGTAAATGCTAGGCTAGAGCAGTGTTTCCCAACCGGTGTTCCGCGGCACACGAGTGTGCCGTGAGACATCGGCTGGTGTGCCGCGAGATGCCTGGAGGGAGGCGGGCGAGTCGGGCGGCGAGAGGCGGGGCGGCGGCGGCGAGGAGCCGCTCGGCGCGCAAAGCGAGGGAGGCTGGAGCCAAGAGCAGCGGCGAGCAGGAGGCGCTTGGTGGGAGATTCAGCCGAGCCCGAGCTGCGTGCGCTCCCGAACCTCTGGGCGGAGAAGAGCGTGCGTGTGTCCGGCTTAGCGACGGATCCTCTCACCCGGCGCAGCAGAAGACAACCCTCGGGGCGGAGCTCCTGCCAAAGGCCTCCCGCCTTCTTCCCCACGCGGGGCAGAATAAGTGGAAACCGGCGGACGCAGCGGGTTTCTCAGCCGCTGCCCGGGTTGCCCCTCTCTCCTACAGAGCCGCATCCATCCCAGCCCCTCCTGTCATCTCAACCTGCCCGTCTAATTTACATACCATCATATCCTCCTTTCTTATTGATTCACTTAGATTTAGTCTTACATTTCTCGCTTTGTCTCCGTAGACTGCGCGGAGGGAGAGCCAGAGAGAGGCATCGCTCCTGCGCGGCGGGAGAGGGAGCAGCCGGAGCGATGCCCCAAACGAGCTGAATTCCGAGCGAGGGACTGAGGGGGGAGGGAAAAAACTTTCACTTTCGTGCGTCCCTCCCGGCGTGACGCTGCGCGCTGACGTCACGGGGCGGGGCTTTAATGGTGGTGTGCCGCGAGATTTTTTTCCAGTAAACAGGTGTGCCGTTGCCCAAAAAAGTTTGGGAAACACTGGGCTAGAGCTCCTCGCCTTGACATGCTAACTTTCCATCTGGAGGGATTGTTATTGTATTGCACAGCAGAGAATTCAAGTCACATCATATAAGCCAGAAACAGTTTTAAGCTCCAATCCTATACACCAGAGCTTTCCAAATTATGTGTCACAACATATTAGTGTGTCGGCTGCGGTGTGTAGGTGTGTCAAGCAAACACTCTTACAAGGGGTTAGTTTAACCTCCAGTTTGCTAGTAAAACTGTTATGAAATGATGCATGTCTAAAAAGTGTGTCACCAACATGAAGAGTTTGGAAAGCTCTTCTATACACACTTACCGGGGAATAAGCTTCACTGGAAACAATGAAGGTTATTTATAAGTAGGCCTCTCTAGGCTTGTACTCTTAGCTCTTCATCTGCAATTGTCAAGACTAGGCCTGGATGGACTTCTTGGTGACAAAGGCACACAATGCAGAACCTCACCTTTAGACACGATGAGAAGGCTGGCATTCAAGTGACAAAGTACAGTGGAACCTCGGAAGCCAAACGCCTGTAAACTTGACCGTTTCGGCTCCTGAACGATCGAAAACCAGAAGCGATTGTTCCGGTTTTCAAATGATTTTCAGAAGGCGAACATCTGGTGCGGCTTCCGACTGGCTGCAGGACGCTCCTGCAGCCAATCGGAAGCCACGCCTTGGAAGTCAAACGTTTTGGAAGTTGAACAGACTTCCAGAACGGATTCCGTTCAGCGTCCAAGGTACGGCTTTAATAATTTCTCAGCAGCCATTCCAAAAGGCTCTCTTCCCACAGAGGTTCACCAAAGCCTTCCTAGTGCTGGCAGGATGAGGCATAGAGTTTAGCCACTAAAGTCAATCAAAAACCCTTGGTGGACCACAACTCCTGTCATCCCTGACCATTGGCCCTGTTGGTTGGGGCTGATGGGAGATGAAGTCCAGCACTGTCTAGAGAGTCAGGTGTCCCCTGTTCAGCCACCTCAGCTTTTTGTAGCTGGAATGAGCCAGGGTCCCGCCCTCCCAGGCTGGCCAGGTGGAAAAGGCCTGCAAGGCAGGGAGCAGGTGTTTCAGTACTCAGAGAGAATGGTCTCCAGGTTAAAATGTACCATCCCAAGCACCCATAGCTCTGTGGTAGAGCATCTACCTTGCACGCAGAAGGTCCTGGGTTCAATTCCTGACGTCTCCAGGTAGGGCTGGCAGAGACTCCTGCCTTAAACCAGACCCACTGCCTTGTCACTATGGAAAATACTGAGCTAGATAGACCAAAGCAGCTGCCTATGGTCTTATGTACTGAAAGAAGCAGCAAGAAGAGGCAAAAAAGAAATTATCCGCATAGAGCACCACCTATTCACAATTGCCACAAGGATTGCTGGAAGGTTGAAACTAAAAAACATTCAAGGATGGCCATTCAATGGTTTTACGGTCTTTGGGTGAGCAGATTTAAAACCCCATTCCTGTCTTTCACACATGCACATCAAAAGGAGAGAGATTCACACATGCTTTACATGTGCAAAGTCTGTTATATCCTTAAAAAAAAAAGCAATTGATGCTACACAGTCTTTCTCCAACTGCCAGACAGCTCCTACCCTTTCCCCAAAGACAAAAACATTTCTCTTGGTCTCTATCCTGCCTTTGTCTCTATTGTGTGCTCTCTGCTTGTACTGTACGTCTGTTTATGCCACCCTTTCCCTTTCCTCAGTCCAGGCTCTGAACCTGGGCATGCTTGGCTTGAGAGTCGTCCCCAGAGACATCAATGGGATTTACTCTCTCTCTTTTTAAAAATATGATTTTTATTAAATTTTCTGTTTTACAATTTTAGATAAAACATTTTACCTACTCTTCTTCTCTTCCCTTCTTCTCTTCCCATGGTTCATTTCACATATCTTATATCCCTGCAGATGTCACTATGTACTATATGTACTAATCGGTTTTCCATTGTTACATCCATCAAAACTTATTTACACCATTGAATTTATCTTAATACTGCAGGCGTTTTCAGCTGTACGCAATTATTTTCCATATATGCAATAAATGTTCTTTAAAGGTATGTTCTTCTTGCTCTCTTATTCTAGATGTCAACGGGGTTTACTCTCAAGTAGACACGCGCAGGGTCGGGCTGTCAAAAGCTTGACCTTGGCCCCTTGGCGAATTCCTCCCTCCGTCCCTTAACCCAAAGCACCCTTTTGGATTTCTAGCCCTGGCAAGAAACAAATACAGATTCAGCTACGACAAAGGACGCAGGAGGGGGCCCCACCCCCCTCACCCCGCCGAGAGGTCGGACTAGATGACCCCTCAGGGTCCCTTTCCAATTCTGTGATTCTGCGCCCCTGACGTACCGCAACCTCCCTTCTCCTCAGAGACAAGGGCTGAGGGGAGACACACCCCGACGCCATTCCCACCCCCAGAGCCCCTCACAAACGCCCACACCCGAGGGGGGCGGGTCCCGTTCACAGGGCCGAGGAAGGAAAGCGGGGCGTAGCCCGTTGACAGCCATGGGGTGGGCGGTCGCGGGCCGTCCGCGAGGAAGACAGCGGCCCCCGACTCCCCTCCCGGCCCATGCGGGGTGGGGGGGGCGTTGTTCCTTCTCCTCACCTGGAGCTCCCGCTATCCCAGAGCTCGCGCACACCCCTCCGTCTTCCAGGCACTTGGTTCCTCCCCAGGGCGCCGCCGGATGCTGTCACCTGGCGCCGCCCGGGCCCTGAGAGGGGAACCGTTCGCGGCGCGAGGGAAAGAGCTGGGCGGGACCATTCCTCTCGGGCGGGGAGGGGAGCGCGGCGGGAAGGGGGCGGCGCCGCGCGGAGGAGACGGGCAGAAAGCGGTCAGTAGGGGAAGGGAAGCGAGGGGGTCGGGGACGGAAAGCGAAGTTGCCCTTTTGGCTTTGTGTTTATGTGCTTTAAGACTAGATTGGTTTTATGGGGGGGGAGGGGGAGGTTTGGCGATATTGGATTTATCCCGCATTTTGACTAAATTGCTCTGGTTTTTGTTGTTTTCGACTTCACGGGCATGTAGATCCAGCCATCTGGAGGCAGCCCTTGATAGGGAAGTTTTCTTAATGTTTAATGTATATTATATTATATTATATTATATTATATTATATTATATTATATTATATTATATTATATTATATTATATTATATTATATTATAATATTATATTATATTATATTATATTATATTATATTATATTATTATATTATTATAATATTATATTATAATATCATATCATATCATATTATATTATAAGCTACCCAGAGTGCCTGAGGTAACCCATTCAGATGGTTGGGGTATAAACAATAATATTTATTTATTTATTTATTTATTTATTCACTCATTCATTGGAGTAGAGGTAAAGGGTAAAGGGACCCCTGACCATTAGGTCCCGTCGTGACCGATTCTGGGGTTGCGGCGCTCATCTCGCTTTATTGGCCAAGGGAACCGATGTACAGCTTCCGGGTCATGTGGCCAGCAGGACTAAGCCGCTTCTGGCAAACCAGAGCAGCGCACGGAAACGTCGTTTACCTTCCCGCCGGAGCGGTACCTATTTATCTACCTGCACTTTGATGTGCTTTCAAACTGCTAGGTTGGCAGGAGCAGGGACCGAGCAACGGGAGCTCACCCCGTCGCAGGGATCTGAACCGCCGACCTTCTGATCAGCAAGTCCTAGGCTCTATACTTTAACCCACAGCGCCACCCGTGCCCCTTCATTGGAGTGGGATGTCCCTATTTTCACCAGAGAAACGTTGGAGGGTATGATTTTGCATATTTGCGTTTTTCCAAATCTTCTCTGCTTTTGGTGGTTTTTGAATGTTTGGGCGCAGCTTGTTGTGGGGAAAACACATTTATAGGCTGCTTCCGAAATAAACTCGGGCTGGGTGAACACAGGCAAGCTGACACAGCACAAGAGACACATCCACCTTGTCATGCGCTACAGGAGGTGACAAAAATGGCCCTAGAGCTGTGATAGTTGAATGACAGGCAAGTCTCACATATTTTAAAAATAACGCAGGACTTGTGAATTGGAAGGGAGACAGAGTAGGTGGCAAAACCTAAGCCACAGCTGCCAAAGGACAGAGGCAGTCTCCAGCTACAATCTTCCATCTGATCAGAAACACGGTGATATATCATTTTTCGAAATGCACATTTATTTAGTTTTCTCTGTCCCTAACCCCCAGGCTTCTTCATTTTCTAGGCTTCTTCATTTTCCAAATAACTCTGTGTGAGATATGGTGCTATTCCCATTTTGCAGATGAAGAGAACTAAGGTTGTCAGTTTATCATAGCTGAATGCTGCACCAAGCCTAAAATACTTTCCCTCTGAATCACAGCAGCCTCAATCCAATTTAAGTTAGCAGTGACTAATGGAATAAAGTAACGGAACAAGTCAGTTCTAACTGACTTGGGCTAGCCAACATAGTGCCCTCCAGTTATTCGGGACTCCAGCTCTTATCAGCCCAAACCAGCATGGTCAGTACTCAAGGATGATGGGAGCATACCATGCCCAGTGGTCAGCCAGGTCAAACACTGGCCTGAGCTGCTGACTGCATCAGTATGCACCTTTGTTCAGACCAAAGGGCCACTTTCTATCACAAGCAGCCTTTCAGGGGCCACGTGGCAGTGGGGCGGGGGGCAGAGCTATTGGAAAAACATTGAGTGCACAGTATATGGACAAGTGAACACACAGGCATTATTGCCATTCAATGACGCATTCTAGACAGGCAAAAGGAGACAGGATGCAGAACAGGTCTGGTGAGCATGGTCTGAGAGGGGGTGTGAACTGGGGGAGACTAGTGGGTAGGCAGATTCAAGGCCTAGACAGGGCTGTTTTCAGTCCATGGGCCTCGAGAGCCAGTGTGGTGTAGTGGTTAAGAGTGGTAGATTCGTAATCTGGGGAAGCGGGTTCGTGTCTCTGCTCCTCCACATGCAGCTGCTGGGTGACCTTGGGCTAGTCACACTTCTCTGAAGTCTCTCAGCCCCACTCACCCCACAGAGTGTGTGTTGTGGGGGAGGAAGGGAAAGAAGAATGTTAGCTGCTTTGAGAATCCTTCGGGTAGTAATAAAGCAGGATATCAAATCCAAACTCCTCCTCCTCCTCCTCTTCTTCTTCTTCTTCTTCTTCTTCAGATTCCCATCCCTTGCTGTGCATATTTTGCAAGGGGTAATCCCCCACTGACACACTACTGAGTACACATGCATCAGGCTGCTATGCATATTGCACAGTGTGTATTCTGCCTATTTCATGGGATAAGATCATGGCACAGGCCTCCTCCGACCCGGATGTGCACCGGAAATAATGCTTGCGCTTGCGCACAAGCTATTTCTTGTGCTCCTCCGACCCAGAAGTGGGCAGCCACACAGCGCCGGTAAGAGCAGGCGGCGGGGGTTGCCGCGGGCCGGATAAACAAGTCCCTTGGGCCTTATCCAGCCCATGGGCCTTAGTTTGGGGACCCCTGTCTTAATCTGATGTGCATTAACCTTGTCATTTCCGTGTCCCTCCAGACACCTGCCATCTGCGCTCATCTGCACATGCACAGTTGATGTTAGGGTATTTTCCCATTAACACTCCACATCCAGTTTTTATCGTCAGATCAAAAGTGGTAAATGCATCAAACCAGTATTTGCTAAGAAGCTACAAGCTCAGTATGGATTGTGGTGTGAGTGTGGCTTCAGAAGCGAGCAGGTGGTGTGCACTGCATGCAGAGAATACCCTAAGTCTCCTCATCGTGGTCCCAGGATCTTGGCCTCTTTAGTTTTGGAAAATCCAAAACCTGGATTTTCTCTAGGCTCCCACTTATGCACAGCTCATCCTGTATATAAGTTGCCCATGTCCTTGCAAGGCTCCTGTGGCAGAAAGCAGTGAAGTGAGTCCTGCATTTTCAGAACATATGACCCAGGGAGATCATCTGCCTTTGATCAAGAAACCTTCTGACCCACCCAGCAGCAGCAACTTGCTTTCCTTCCTTATTAGCCCCAGAAGGGTTTGTCTCTTTAGGTCAGCCTGGTGCTACCTGCTGCTGGGATGGAATGAAACCCATGTTTGGGCCAGAGCCCAGGAGAGAGGGAGGCACTGCAGCCAATCCTCCTCTTCCTGCCTTCTGCAACCTTGTTCCCAGCGCCCGTGCCAGCCCCTTATCTGCAGAGGAGGGGACTGCGTGGGGAGCGATGATCTCATTCTGCAGACCTCCAGAGACCGTGACTTGATGGGCCAGATAAAGTCCCCACTGACTCCTTTGATGGCTCTACTGAAGGATGTGGGAAAAGGGGTGGGGGAGATGTTGGAAGATAGGCAGCCTCCACCACCAGCACTTCAAGGGAGAGCGAGAGCCAAGGCTGTCCTTGGACAGATTCTCCGGGAGTCCCCTAACAGCTCTGGCAAAGGAATCATGTTGTGTGTGGGATGAGATGAGAGAGTGCTAAGAATCAGGGTCCCTGGAGAGGGTTGCTGTGTCCCAGCTGGGGAGATGGTGCTCTTTCTCTTCTTCAAGAAGCAGAGTAGCAAGTAGATGTCAAGAAGCACTCCCGTAGAGCAGGGGTGGCTAACCTGCTCTTCTCCACCTGATGTTGTTGGATTCCAACACCCATCGCTCCCATGGCCAGTGGTGAGTGGTAATGGGAGTTACAGTCCAACCACAGGCCAGCCACACCAATGGAGAGTATTTCCACCACAACCTGCTACCTACAAGTCTTGTCTCATAAACACTTCTGCCCATTTCCCCTCCTCGCTGGTCTTTATCCTTCTCAAAATCCACCTGCTTCGTGAATCTTTACCTTGAACTGAAAAATAGTTTAAGTACACATAACTGCATTTGTGCAGACCCACAAATTTTTGTTACCCATATATCTCATTAACCTCCCCCTCCCCTTACCTCTGTCCACTGCTAAAATGTAGGCACTAGAAAGTAAGCTCCTTGGGGCAGGGACTTGCTGTCTTTCTTCTGTTATCCATGTGCAATGATAGCGCCATAAGTAAATATTTATAATAATCTCCAAAACGCTTTGGAACTTTGGAAGTTCGGCTGAGGTGTCTGGCATCTGAAAAAGTAGGCTACAGCTTACAAATTGTTTTGTTGTGCTTTTAGGAAAAAACAGGGTCGGTCCAGATTGGTGTTTCATTATGACGGCATTCTGCAAAACATTATCAGTACAATAATATTGCATTAGTATGGATTTATTCTGCTTCATTAGATGCTCTAGAATGCTTCCCCAGGGCTGCCACAGGATCACTGGCCAGACAGACTGTAGCACAACAAAAGTGGGACAACACCGCCCGCCCTCATGTTTGTAGTATGAGAAATTTCAGCAGGAAGTTACAAGATATTCACTGATTGGAAATGAAGTAGTCTAACCACCCCAAAACCTTTATAGGCACCAATAGTATTGAAAGAGGGGTCATATATGACTGCCCCAACAGCATCATGAGTACAAATAATCATGGATGCACAATAAAGGGGGCATCAGGAGGGCCCTTAGTTTTAAAGGTTTTACTGGACTCAGACTTTGAATGCCTACAACTCACATTTAACTTGTGAGGGTTTTTTTCCTGGAAGGATATCAAATTTTTAGCTTTGATACTAGAATCAACAGCTTTCCTTGTTGGTGAAATTGTGGGAAAAGTGGGATCTGGGACTGGCATTTGTGAGTACAACTAGGCACAATCCGGGCAGCCTCCCACTGCTTCACTGATGTCAGTCTTCCTCACCCAAAAGTGGCTTTCAGAGGAGAATGGGGTCTTGGGTTTGTTTGTTTTCTTATAAGTAGCTGCAGCACAAGTAATGTATATTTTGCCCCTAAATGGTATTATTTCCGTGGTGTGGTTCTAAAGTCAGTTATTATTACTGCTGCTTCATATTTTAACCAGTTTGTTGGTTTGAAGACTGCCTTATTGCAATTATGGTGTTTTGCCTGTTATTGTTGTGAGCTGTCCATGTTGAATGAAGGGCAGGTATGCAGCATAAACTATGTTCCTTGGTGGACTGTGTTTAGTCAGGAGAGCAGGTCTATTGTAGCTGAACATGTCTGTACCTTCCCCACTCCTTTTTACAGGAATCATGTGTCTTCATGATCCATTTAATTTCACACAACTGAAGGCATATGAAGAAGCCCGCATTCCACTGTGGAAACTCCTCCCGGGCAGCCCAAGCCCTGCCATAGCTGGAACTTGCCGAAGACAAAACTCACTCACACACCTCTGTTGTTAACACAAATTAGTATATATATTTCCCCCTCTGAAACAAATTTAAACCCCCAAAGAGCAGGGCATCAATGGAAGCTCAGTGGCTAATTTACAAAGCCAGTGAAGAGTCGACAGGGTGCATTATCTCTGCTCAAGGTCAGCATGTATCCCCTCCTCTTTTTTTGTCTCCTATTGTGATGCTTTAGAGATGGGAATGAATATACCCATGGAAAGGGAGGATTAGGAGCTGTACAGGGAAGCGGATTTGGACCAGTGCATTTCAGGATGGATTTTGAGGTGCGGATAAATTTAGTTCCTTGCATGCATTAGAAGATGGGTGAATGGTGAGATACCAGGATGGAACAGGAGTCGGTGGAAGGTAGTCCAGTTGTAGATCACCAGATGGCTTTGAGTGGCCTGCCTAGTGCAGGGATAGGGAACATGTCCGTTCCCCCCCCCCCGACTCCAGCTCCCATAATCCCTGATGATTGGCTATGCTGGGCAGTGCCAGTGGGAGTTGGGAGTCCAACCAAATCTGGAGGGCCACAGAACCCCTAGTCCACACCCAGCTATCCAACTATAAGCGTCTGCTTATAGCTGGAATCCTTTCAAAATAATGATAAGCACCGTGGACTCTGGTCTGACGCTCACTGAGAATGGTAAGGCACAAGGCAGAGAGGCCAACAGGAGGTGAAGTCAGAGCCAATGGCAGCCAGAGGTGAATTAATTCCAGGTCCAACCCTTTGGGTTACAAATGGAGTATATAATAAAGCAGATGAAAAGGTAAAGGTAGCCCTGCCCGTACGGGCCAGTCGTGTCTGACTCTAGGGTTGTGCGCCCATCTCACTTAAGAGGCCGGGGGCCAGCGCTGTCCACAGACACGTCCGGGTCACGTGGCCAGTGTGACAAAGCTGCTCTGGTAAGCCAGCACCAGCACAGCGCACGGAAACGCCCTTACCTTCCCGCTATAAAGCGGTACCTATTTATCTGCTTGCACTTAAGGGTGCTTTCGAACTGCTAGGTGGGCAGGAGCTGGGACCGAAGACGGGAGCTCACCCCGCCGCGGGGATTCGAACCGCCGACCATGCGATCGGCAAGTCCTAGGCGCTGAGGTTTTACCCACAGCGCCACCCGCGTCCCCGACAATAAAGCAGATTAGTTATGCCTTAACTGTTAAAGAGATCCTGAGTGTGCATGTTTGCTTTGTAAATTGAAAGACATTGATGGATGTTCCCCCGTTTTCCAGTAGATCATTCAGGACAAAAGTCGCTTCACTAATGTACAAACTGCCCTGCCCAGCAACTAATTTTTAACGGGCCGGTTTAGACAGTCAGCAGAAATGAGTGGAAAGTGTTTTCCCCCCTGGATTGAACAACACTGCAGGTGGGAGTGGCGTGCCCGAGTGCAGCGTTCCCCAAGGCAAAGGAGTCCCAAAACAAAACTCCGTGTCCCACAACAGGCAAGCAGTAGTGAGCAGCTGAGATGTACATGGAACAACTTTTCCCCAAATCTCTACTGATAGCCACTCTTGGGGAATGACTATTAGGATTGCCACTTGCATTGCAGGCAGATATACAGGAACATAGGGAGGATTCAGGATGGGGTGACTGACTTGAGCTTGGTGACTGACTTAAAAAGGCAGGGCCACTTTACCATATACATGACAAATAGGGTGAGCGGAAGCACTATTTCTCACAAGCATAAAACTGGGTTTCTTTTTGCATTTGTACATGTTCTTCCCTAAGACAAGAAGGGAGGCACTGTGCAAAAGTATGTGCTTTGCTTATGATGGGCCAATTCACCAGTCTGGCAGGGGTGGAGGTGCAGAGGACAGGTGCTCATTATGAACTTGTTGTTGTCATGCAATCCAGGCTGCAGGGGATGCATCCGACCACACGCAGAGCACTCATCTGACTTATTCCACAGGGGAAACATAGCTGTGAGAGCAGAAAAGCAGGTGTAGATACTCCTGGAGTACTGTATGTAAGGTACGCAAATGAGCTGGGCATGCTTAGCCAAATAGACAAGGAAGAGAATGCGGTTAGAGATAGTTGGACAGCAGCAATTTACAGATGGGTGGAGGGATCAGTAGCTCGCTTCCGTCTATGGCTTAGTAGGTGGAGGGACTGCACAAAAATCTTCTTCCATGCATAGGAAACAGTGGATGTCAGAGAGAAGGGTTGTCCTTCCGTTGGTTCTTCATGGCCCAAATGTAACATAAATACCCTGCATGCGGAAGGTCCTGGGTTCAACCCCCAGCACCTCCAGAATGACCAGAAAAGACCTCTGGCTGGAATCCTTGCAAGCTGCTGACAGTCAGTGTAGCAAATGCTAGATGGACCAGTGGTCTGACTCGGTGTGAGACAGCATCCTGTGTTCCTATGCATGGACAGCACATGTTCCCACCACCTGCTCCCCGATGGGGAAGCATTCGGCCCCAGCATTTCTCACCTGCGGTATGAAGTGGCACAGTCAGCCTGGAAAAGAGCTCGACTGCTTTATCACCACCTCATCCGCTGCTTGGGGGAACTAGCCCATAATATATGTCTTCTCTGATGACGAGCTGCGGGATCAGAGCACCCTCCCGTTGTTATTCTTTTCTCCTGTCCTTCCAAGGCGCCCATTCTGCAAGCAGTTAATACACGTGCTCCAAAAAATTATCAAGAGAGATGTGCCTTCCCTGCTTATTGGTCCCAGAGTCACTGTACATGAATGCCGTGGGTTGTTGTGTGGTTGTAGGGCTCTTTACCCCAGTGCAGAAACAACCCCAGGGGAGCCATGTGGGGCAGGAGAAGCCTGTGGAGGAAAGCCTGGTGGAGAGCCTAGAAGGTGTGGATTGGGTCCAAAAGGGAGCAAATGTCCTGGCAACATCATGGGGCTGAGAGTATAGAGGGCAGCCGCTTCTTCCCCCATCAGAGGCGCTGGCATCAACTCCAGGGGGGTTGGGGTGGACATGGCAGCTTCCCCAGAATTCCCCTTGCGCTTTTTGGACTTGGCTGAAGAGACCTTGCGGTTCCGGGTCTGGATCCCATCCTTGCGCATTGCCAAGGGACGATTCACCTGGAAGGCAGAAGATGGGGCTGTGAGCGAGAGTAAGAGCAGTGCCGCAGAGTGGTCGAGAGTAAAGAAGAGGCTAGAGCAATAGCTGTTTGCAGAGCAGGTGCATGGTTCAGATAGAGGGCAGAGAGGCGCGGGGCTGGCTATGGAGCCATACTAACTCAGAAGAAAACCCCACTGGGTTTGACAGGATCACTCTCAAGGCAGAGGGCCTTCTCAGTCGTGGCACTCTCCCTTCAGATTGCAAGGAAATAAAGAATCACTCAACTTTTAGAAGATATCTAAAGGCAGCCCTGTATCAAGAGGTTTTTAACACGAGTGAAACAGGTTTAGTAATAACAAAAAAGGTGAAGTACCTGGGTGTGAACTTGACTTCTAAAAATGTGAATTTATTTAAAGACAATTATGACAAATGTTGGACAGAAGTGAAGAAAGATCTAGAAACATGGTCAAGGTTGAAACTTTCCTTGTTAGGCCGAATTGCTGTCATTAAGATGAATGTATTGCCTAGAATGTTGTTTTTATTCCAGACACTCCAGATCTTGGACAAGATGGACTGTTTCAAGAGGTGGCAAAAAGACATATCCAAGTTTGTCTGGCAGGGCAAAAAACCCAGAATAAACTTTAAGATTTTAACCGATGCAAAAGATAGAGGGTGGTTTGCCCTGCCGGACCTGAGACTTTATTATGAATCGGCAGCGTTCTGCTGGTTGAAACAATGGCTGCTTCTTGAGAACACAGACATTTTGGATCTGGAAGGGTATGACAATAGATTTGGTTGGCATGCATATATATGGTATGACAAGGTAAAATTACATAAAGGTTTCAAAAACCATATTGTTAGGAAAGCATTATACAATGTTTGGATAAGATACAAAGATCTATTGGAAAGTAAAACTCCCAGGTGGCTATCACCAATGGAAGCTAAAGAGACAAAAAAACTTAATATGGAGTCCAAATGCCCAAAATATTGTGAAATCTTAGAACAAGATGGTGAAAGGGTTAAATTACAGAGTTATGACAAATTAAAGTCTAAAGTACGAGATTGGTTGCATTACCTTCAGATAAATGAGGTATTTAAACAGGACAGGAAAATAGGTTTTCAGATGGAGAGGTCGAAATTAGAAACAGAATTGTTAGAACCCAATACTAAGAATTTGTCAAGAATGTATAATTTGCTGCTGAAATGGAATACACAAGATGAAACAGTAAAATCAGCTATGATCAAATGGGCACAAGACATAGGTCACGACATTATGTTTGACGACTGGGAAAAGTTATGGAACACCGGTGTTAAGTTTACGGCTTGTAATGCCTTGAGAGAAAACATAATGAAAATGATCTACAGGTGGTACATGACCCCAGTTAAACTTGCAAAAATTTACCATTTGCCCAATAATAAATGTTGGAAATGTAATGAGACTGAAGGTACTTTCTATCACCTTTGGTGGACCTGCCCGAAGATTAAAGCCTACTGGGAAATGATCTATAATGAGATTAAAAAGGTCCTTAAATGGACATTTTCTAAAAAACCAGAGGCTTTTCTCCTGGGCATGGTGGGCCAATTGGTGCCAAGGAAGGACAGAATCTTTTTCATGTATGCTACCACAGCAGCAAGAATTCTTCTAGCAAAGTATTGGAAGACGCAGCAGCTACCCACTCTGGAAGAATGGCAAGTGAAGGTGATTGACCACATGGGAATGGCAGAGATGACCGGCAGAATCCGCGACCAGGGGAGTGAGACAGTGGAAGAAGATTGGAAGAAATTTAAAATATATCTTAAAAATTGTTGTAACATTGAGGAGTGCTGAGATGCTATGGTGTTAAGAAACAGAGAATTGCAGCTGTAAATCATAAGTTTAAGGAAATTATAATGAAGATGAGTTAACTAATTAAATGGAGGGTTGCTGAGAAAAGGTAAAAATAAGGATGCAGAAAAAGGGAGGTATGGGGAAGTCCGGGAACTAAGGTGAAGGAAAATAAGTTTATGAAATTATACATGTTTATTTGTTTGTATGTTTTGTTCTGTTTTATTGTTTGTTTTTAATACATGTTTGGAAAATTAATAAAAATTATTTATAAAAAAAAGAGGTTTTTAACACTTGATGTTTTTATTTAGTTTTTAGCTATGCTGTCAGCTGCCCAGAGTGGCTGGGGAAACCCAGCTAGATGGGTGGGGTATAAATAATAAAATTATTATTAATAATTATTATTTTGTTTGTTTGCTTGCTTGCTGTAGTGCAACATAATGCTACCCAAGGAGTAAACAGAGATGGGGTGTGTGCGCGTGTTGCAGGAGCATGTATGCGTGTGGCAGCTGGCAGATCCACAGCCTGAGGCAATTGCCTCATCCCGCTTCCTGGCCATGACAGCTCTGCAGGAGAAGCTACAGGGTAGGCACCCCCAGGGTCTGAGGACGATGGGAGAGGCACATCCCTGGTCTGGGAAAAGGGTACTGAAGGTGCTCCTTTTGGAGCAGTATAAAGTCACCCAAATTTGAGTCCTCCTCAAGGCAACATGGAAATGGCAGAAGCCTACCAATTTGTTCTCAAACATCTGGGGGGTGGGGGTCAGATTTATTTTCCCCGAAACAGGCAAACTAGGAGGGAACACATTCTTTTAAAATCCATGGGTTGTAACCAACTAAGTCTTACTTAGAGTAGACCCACTGGAATTAAGGGGCATTAAGTTAGCCAAGTCTATTCATTTACATGGATCCGCTCTGGGTACGACTGGACACAACACTATGTACCTTTTATCAAATAAAACACTCAGGGCTTATCCACACGTAACTTTTGTCCTGCTGTTTCCAGGGACACATCTGCACTTAAAAGCTTCGTGTCCAAGCATGTGTCATTTTCTCCCCCGCCCCAAGCTTTCCCCACAGAAACCCGCTTTTTAGCTCTCAATTAGAGCAAACGACAGTTTGGGCTTTCCACAGATTGCCATTTGCAAGAGCAGAGGAAAGGTGCATACGCCCTTACCCTTCTGCTTATTCTGAAACAACACAGAACAAGGGCGAAAACACTTCAGAAAGCCCAAAAGTATAGGGAGGACAAGAATGAGAAGGAAGGAATGCTGATGGAATAGGTGGACGAGGCAGCTTCAGGAAGTGTCTGGGCCATAGAAATTGCTGTTAGGAGCTACAGGTGGTCCAGGCAGCAGAAAACAGGTGGGCCTCTGCAGGTTCCCTTCTGAAAACATCTTCAGAAGAAGAAGCCATCAGGTTTAAGTAATAAAGTGTAGTTTGTCAGGATGGCTCGTTCGAGGCCATGGCGCGCATTTAGGACAGTGCCAGGTTTTGAACAGCAGGCTTCCTGTTTCAGTGCTCATGCAGCTTTGTCCACAGTGCCATACCGTTTCTTGTTATCCTGTCCACCAGCTTGCAGACAGAATTTGACAGCTATCACAGCACGCTAAACATCTGCATTCTGAAAACATTAGCATTTGGGGAGGTATTTAATGACACAAATAAGTTTTCTCAGTTCTAGGGAAATGCAGATTTTGAGGACAGTTGTGCGCACTTATTTGGTGTGGCAGGTCTACTAGGCCAAAACAGTCCTTGAGTCACTTATTATATGTTGCTTTTATCGATCTAAAGTCAGCTTTTGATACGGTCCCAAGACATGCATTGTGGCAAAAATTGGAAAAGAGAAATATAGGCCTCCGTCTATTATTTCTCATCAAAACATTATATACTGACACATCAATACAAGTAAAGGCGGATCTGGCTGGCCATCTCACCACTAGAATTAAGACCATTACTGGAGTCAAACAGGGATGCATTTTGGCGCCTTACCTCTTTTATTTTTATATTAATGACATGGTTAAAGAACTGGAGGGCCTACAGTTTGCTCCTGTCACAATTCTCGACCAAAAACTCTTAAGTTTTATTGTATGCTGATGACCTAGTACTTGTATCTAGAACCCAGGTAGGCCTGAGACAGCTGCTTGTGAAATTAAGTTCATATTGCACGAGGAATGCTTTATCTTTCTATAAACTTAACATAAAATCAGTGTAATGCTTTTTATCCATTAAATGGGTGTGTGTGGGAGAGAGAGCGAGAGAGAAGCAAGCAAGCATTCATGAGATAATGCTGAGGCTGTTTATCAAGACACTCCAGATCCAGTTTTCTGGACATAGTCACACTGAGATGCCCTTATTCCATCAACCAAACCCCCTACTGCCTTGGCTTACATTGTGCAGCTTGAAATAGAGACCGCAGGCATTGCATACGGGTTCTCCGTTCACGTTTCGGCGCCAGAGGGTGGTGGTGGTCGTCTGGCAGTTACTGCACTGGGTGCCGGCTCGCTTGCTGACAATCTGCATGGTTGAATATGATGAGGGTTGTTACATACAGCGACAAATGGAACCTGCAACAAACTGTTGCAGGGAGTCCAGCTACGCCACTCCATTCCCCTACCTACCCATTCCTGCCCACCTCTGTCAGTCAGATTTCCATGCACCCCCCACCAGAATGTACCTCTGCAAACCTCAATGTTGCCCTGAACATAAAAATATATTACCAGACGTTTCTTTGGCCGGATGAGAGGCCTGTTCTGCCCATTCATCTTGTGGTAGAGCCCACAGGCATTACAGAGGTAGTGACCAGTGCCGTCCCTTCGCCACAGTGGCGTGGCTGTGGCTCCGCAATTCACGCACTCTCGCGCCTCTAAGGAAAGAGATGGGGACAAGCAGTCAGTGGGGAAGTGGCAGAATAGCTCAGAAGGGGGCGGGCATGAGGCCCTTCACTTTGAGGAGATGCTACTAGCAGCATGTCTGATGCAGGACTGGGCTGGAGAAGGCCAGACAGAGAAAGCTCAAGAAAGATGCCAAGAACAATGATTCGTCAGAACCTGGGTAGAGGAATATTAATTCATTTACATAATGGGTAAAGGAAGCCAATCTTTGCATGTCCAATAAATGCTGCTAGAGCTTAATCTCCATTATGGATCCATCTTGGCCTATAAGCTCATCCTGGAACCTAAGAGGTCAGCTCCAGAATATGTTTTTAATGTCAGAGTTCAGATCTGGAACCTGTAAGGTCATAATTATTGTGCCACTAAGCATCTACAGAGTATAATGTGGGAAAGAAATATGTTATACATTTAATGAGCAGAACTTTGCAGTTCAGAGGTGGCAGTTCATGACCAAGATTAAGCCACAGGCACTCTAGCATTTTATAGATTTGCCTGTGGATGTCGCTTCTCCTAAACACATTTTTTACGCCAACTATGTCTTGCAGTTGCCTCCGGTAAACAGCTTCATGGTTAGTCATCTCTGACATCCAAGCAGCACAAAAAAAGTGCTGATCAGCTGGGCCAGCTAGAGCACACAAACTCTTTCAACATCATGGCCAAACTTCCCAATGGGAAATGTCATCTGAGTGATCCACACATTGTGCATTCAAATATTCACATTAGGACTGAAATCAAAAAGTATTTTGGTGCAAATTTTTAACTTTGGTAGAAAGCTTTTAACAAATTTGAAAACGCACGATCTGCCTCTCCAGTCTGCACCATTTTATTTACCAAGGTGTTTTTGTTTTACAGGCAGGCGAGCTTTTGAAAGAGGTCTGGAGTGGTGCAGTCCATTGTGTCATATCGTTCCCGCTTTGCTCCTCAGCCCATGTGATGGTCCCCAGCAAAAATCCTCACCAGTAGGAGAGAGCTGTGTTGCCCCCCGTAGTTTAGGGGAATACCCAGCTGTCAGGGGACTCCCAGATGGCTGGAAGTATCCAAAGTCCTGTCCCATTGCGTAAGCTGCTCCAGTCGGGGTTCCCAAAGGCAGCAGTTCAGCATGCGTGGGGCTCATCCGCTCCGTCTTCAACATCTCCAGGTATCTGGGGCTCCCCTTGTCATCGGGGCTGAGGTCCTTGGGCGAGGGAGGCGCTTGGAGGGTCTGATATGAGGACGTAGCAGAGGTGTAGATTGGGAGTCCAGCGTGGGGCTTTCCAGAAGAACTGGAAGCCCAAGCTGCTGTGCTGTAAGGGTGCCCATCCACCCACTGCAAACCATTGAGGATGGGATACAACTGCCGCACTGTTGGAGAGGAAACAAAAGGAAAAATTAAGTAGGGTGTACAGGTGTTCAGGGCAGTGGGCCTACACTAGAGTTGGCCAAGCAGGCCCTGGTGGATCAAAATAAGGGGCTCCTTCATTCAGTATCCTGTTACCAGCAGTGGCCAGTTAGATGCTTCCAAGAAGCCCGCAGCCAGGGTATAGGGACAGCCTTGCTCCTCTCGCACGCATGCACCAGTATTCAGAAGCATGCAGCCTCTTGTCCTGTTCTGGTCCCATGGAGGCCTCCGCCGGGCTAGAGGGCAGGTGGTGCAGCACCACGGAGAGCTCCCAGACTCTGTTCACACCATACATTTAAAGGACATGGGTTCCCCCACAAGAAGCCTGTGAGCTGTAGTTTGTTCAGGGTGCTGGGAATTGTGGGTGTAATTAGGCTAACCAGGCCTCTTCATTTGGTCCATGGCCACCTGTCACATGACATCCAGCACAGGTCAAGCCATGGTACCAAATTCAAAAGGATGAATCAGGCATGGCTTGATTTTTCCCCCCAAATGCAAGCCATGGTCGTAAACGAAGAATTGGGAGTCAGTTCTTCCTTCCTTCCTTTACTTTTATTTCATAAAATTCCTTCCTTCCTTGACTGCAAGGAAAAACCTCAAAGCAGTTTCCTTTGCAGCTGCAAGTTTAAAATTGAACTACATGATGTAATATGACATCAAGTGATTGACTGGTGGGTGGACCTTTCAAAGATGGGCCAGTTTAGGATACAGCCTTCTGGGCGGATCCACATTCCCACAGTGAGGACTGTGAATGCTCAATGGCCGTACAATGCCGAGATTGCAATCTTAGCCATGTCTACTCTGAAATAAGTCCCACTGAATAAAGTGAATAAAGTGAGGCTGGGTACCTTTGGGGGGGGTATGGAAAACTGGAGTCAGGGGAGGTAATGGAACAGAGTATTTTGGAAAGGACCATGACAGTCTGTCAGGAACCCTGAATAGAAGCAACCCACAATGTTGATGTTTTTTTTTAATTGAAGGTTTAAAATATGCTTTAATATTTGCAATGTGAAAACACAATGGTATCACTGTAAGCCCATCAGCCAGAAATTCTGAGAATGAGGCGGCTACAGAGATGCACTAGCACATTACTTTTGCCTCCAGAGTAATAGTAAAAGCCCCTTTGAGTGCACAGAGGGCCTTTGTCAAATGCAGCATATCCATCTATGATTCAAAAGGGTAATTATAAGGGCTAATAGCTTGCAGGCAGAGGGAGGTGGGGAGGGTATTGGGATCAGCCGCTTAGTATGTTTAAAGGTATGTCCTCTTTCAATCACTGTATACCTACCTGGAGAGTGTCTGTAGGATTCAGACATACGAGAGAAGTAGGTGGGCATGGCCCCAGCATCAACCCCCTCTGAAGCAGGAAAGAATAGGTCTGCATCATCATTTGCTTGCAAGTGGGGATGTTCAAAATACTGGGAGGCAGAATCTTCATTCCCCACAGTAGAATAATCCATTGTCCGTTCTTAATTGGAATCTTCCTCTGCAGATGATAAAACCTGCAATGAATTTATTTTTTTTAAGCATGGCACATGAGACAAGGAGAGTCCAGATTCCTGGCTGAGAAGTGAATGAGATCTAGTACATTGCTAGGGCCTAGTGATTAGAACCAGCATTCATGAGTTTTATCTTGGTTCGCCTTTACTTCCAGAACACTCTGCAGCAGAGGTCGCCAATGTGTTGCCCTCTGGACGACTGAAGTTGTAAATAGGTGAATAAACCATATTTCCTAAAGCACGACAGTTTCCACCGTGTCTTCTACCTATTCTCCAAAGGTACACAGACCCTGTGTGTGTGTCTGTAATCCCATGTGCTCTTGCCACCACTTGGCAGAGAGAGAGAGCCAGGCACTGGGCTTTTGCAACACTATTTATCCAGTGATAAATATATTTATGTTCCTCTTCTTTTGGCAGCTGTTCTTGGTAGTAGATGTGGCAGCCAATTCCTGAGCATGCCAGTTCTTAGATACCTAGCAGCTCTATTGCTGGCAACCAAGCTACTTCAGACCAAGATCAGTTTGAAGTTTGCCCCGTATTGCATTTTGGACTTCGTGAGGTGACCTGAAAATCCCACTTCAAAGTCCATAGTACAGCATCCAGACTGCACACAAAGGATGAGAGAGTATGAGTAATAATAATAGCAAATAAAATATAATATTAATGCTGCTTTGCTCACCTGCCCCCTTTCAACTAAAGCGGAGCCAAAATTTCTCAGAAGACGTTTTTCTGAGAAAATTCCATCCCAGGGAAAAAAGGCAATTCTGCAGAAATGTTATCTGACTATCTCCACACACACAGGGAGAGAGGGAGAGGGAGAATCAACCACCATTTCCTCCCTCCCACAGTGTCCCAGAACGATGCCAGGCCTGGGGCATTATGGGGTGTGCAAAACGGTGGTCAGGCTACCTAAGGAGGTGCTCTTACTGCCGCTTGCAGAAGCAACGATAACAAGCTGTGCTACTGGCACTTCTTTTTGGCCAGTTATGTACTGCCAAAAAGGAGGATCTGCATCACCAAAAAAGAATCAAAGAGGGCATCCAATTTGCACAACATTGTAATATGCTAGTTCATATGTTCACACAAATCTAGAAATAATTACTGTAATAGAAATAGAATACATATCAACATTGTGGTGAAGACAACAGGTAGCTTTTGCTGCCTGCTCCGTCTGCCGACCAGGCGCTACTAACTGCTGATGGACCATGTCAAGGCCTCTGCTGTTCTCTCTTATCATTAAATCAAACTTTGACTTCAAAAAGAGGATTGTCTTTTGTAAAGCACCGCACATCCTGCGGTTACACAGAAGGGTTTCTATCCAACTAAGTTACACTCAGAGTTAGACTCATTGAAATGAATGGACCAAAGTTAGTCATGTCCATTATTTCCAATGGGTCTTTACAAAATAGGACCAACATTGGCTACAAACCAAGCATTTCTAACCAGCTCTAGGTTTCAGAGTCTAGAATCACATCTGTAAATGTGTGCCTCTTTGTGTTCAGTTCTCCACCTATCCTTAAGCCACATTGGAACTGAAAAATAAAAGGAAACCGGTGTGGCTGCATAAGGAGCTTACAGATGAGCTGAGAATTAAGAAGGGGATGTATAAGAAATGGAAGAAAGGGGAAATCACAAAGGAGGAGTAGACATGAGTAGCCAACAGTTGCAGGGGGAAAGTCAGGCTGGCTAAAGCTCAGAATGAGCTCTGGCTTGCAAGAGAGGCTAAAAATAATAATAAAGATATTTTCGGTTGTGTCACATGGAGGAGGGAGCATGCTTGTTTTCTCCTGCTCTTGAGGGTAGGACTCGAACCAGTGGCTTCAAGTTGCAAGAAAGGAGATTCCAACTAAACATCAATAAGAACTTTCTGACAGTAAGAGCTGTTTGACAGTGGAACCGACTCTCTTGAGAGATGGTGCACTCTCCTTCCTTGAAGGTTTTTAAGCAGAGGTCGCATGGCCATCAGTCAGGGATGCTTTAGCTGAGATTTCTGCCTTGCCGGGGGTTGGACTAGATGACCATGGGGGTCCCTTCCTACTCTAAGATTCTGTGATTATGCCGTGCCCAAAATGGGGTGGTGATAGAAAGTGGAATGATTTCAGAGTGTGAACGAGAGGAAAGTGTCAGTACAGTGGTACCTCGGGTTAAGTACTTAATTTGTTCTGGAGGTCCGTTCTTAACCTGAAACTGTTCTTAGCCTGAAGCACCACTTTAGCTAATGGGGCCTCCTGCTGCCACCACAAGATTTCTGTTCTCATCCTGAGGTAAAGTTCTTAACCCGAGGTACTATTTCTGGCTTAGCAGAGTCTGTAACCTGAAGCCTCTGTAACCTGAAGCGTCTGTAAACTGAAGCGTCTGTAACCCGAGGTACCACTGTATGCCTTTCAACCGATGTCAGCGACTGGGCTCAATAACTGGTTCTGCCCTGACTGGGCTAGGCGACAGGAGCACTTTCAGAGACCTTCCAATCCTGGAAAACTGGTCTCAGTGCACTGGACCCACAACTGTGCATTGTGAGCAGCAGACTCAGCAGAGTATAAATAACGCGGAAGCTAGCTGCGAAGCTTAACTTCTTTTGTTTCTATCAGCTACTACAAACTAACGAACTACCGACTTGCATGAGTGTTACAGCTCCCACTCAGCCATCTAGCCACTACATAGATAAGACTCTCTCCACACAGTTAGGCAGTCAGGCAGGAGCGGAAGAGTAGAAGAGCAGTTTCTGCCCCCTCCTTTCTCGAAACATCAGATCAGGAGATTCTCGCAATGGGAGGGGGTGAAAATATCAACAGAAACTGGGAAGGTAGGCCAACAGTGTCCACCTGAAAAGATGTGAGGTAGCATCCTACCCCATCATGAGCGCTGGGTGTAGAAATATCTGGGCCTCCACCAGATATTTGCAACTCTATCCAAAAGATGTTTGGAATGGATTGGTAGGGAGGTGGCAAAAGTCTTGGTTTTTGCAGCCCATCCTTTACCGCTCTGCAGTGTTAAAATGGAAACACACCATTTTGATCCCTACCATTAAAACAGCATGGCAAAGATACATTGGGGCACAGCAACAGATTCCCATGGGATAAACAAAAAGAATTGCGTGATAAATGGAGTGCAGGTTTGGCTTGCCAATCAGAAGGTCGGCAGTTCGAATCCCCACGACGGGGTGAGCGCCCGTTGTTCGGTCCCTGCTCCTGGCAACCTAGCAGTTCGAAAGCAAGAAATGCAAGTAGATAAATAGGTACCACTCCAGCGGGAAGGTAAACGGCGTTTCCATGCACTGCTCTGGTTCGCCAGAAGCGGCTTAGTCATGCTGGCCACATGACCCTGGCTCCCTCAGCCAGTAAAGCGAGATGAGCAACCCCAGAGTCGGGCACGACTGGACCTAATGGTCAGGGGTCCCTTTACCTTTACCTTTAAGGCTGTTGGCAGTGGAGGCCAACCAGGGGCTTTGTGCTTAGATGGGAGTTGGATTTAATGGGAACCCAGATGAGAGCAGTGCTTGCAGAGCCTTTCTGGATTTGCCTCCTTTGCCCAAGGAGTGCAGAGAAGTCCAGGACCTGTTGGAGGAACCCCTTTCCTAGTGACTCTGTAATTCACCCTCCTTCCTCTTATCTCTTTCTCTAACCAGTCTCTCTTTCTCAGAAGTGACATCTTTACTTTCCTCATCAATATCAGCTTCCAGATCTGATGAGGCTCCAGGGGAAAGTGTGTGGGTTATTTGAGTTTGCTTGCAGTGTGTGTCCCATGTAATATATTGAGTGTGTCAAGCAAAGACTGGACAAGAACAGGGAAGACCTAGGTTCAAAACCCCAGGCAGCCACAAAACTCATGTTTGTGGAGCGCCAGGGGCAGGACTCTCTTGGGCTTCCCGGAGCTAAATTTGTGAGGCCAAAATTGGGGAAGGCTGGGAAAAGAGAAGCAATGTTTGTCACCTGAGACTCCTTTGGGGGAAACACAGATGTCTGTATTGTGCTTGTATTTCTCTCTTAAAAGGGACCCCTGACCAGTAGGTCCAGTCGTGACCGACTCTGGGGTTGCTGCGCTCATCTTGCTTTATTGGCCAAGGGAGCCGGCGTACAGCTTCTGGGTAATGTGGCCAGCATGACTAAGCCACTTCTGGCGAACCAGAGCAGCGCACGGAAACGCCGTTTACCTTCCCGCCGGAGCGGTACCTATTTATCTACTTGCACTTTGACGTGCTTTCGAACTGCTAGGTTGGGAGGAGCAGGGACTGAGCAACGGGAGCTCACCCCGTCGCGGGGATTTGAACCGCTGACCTTCTGATCAGCAAGTCCTAGGCTGTGTGGTTTAACCCACAGCGTCACCCGTGTCCTATTTCTCTCTTACACTCTGGCTAATTTCAGCTTCAGTAGTAGGGAATCAAATCAGAATGCCAATTTGGGGGCGGACCAAGAGCAAACAGCAACCCATGGATAACATGAATTGCCTTTTGTTGCACTTCAGCTTTAAAGAGCCGGTTTTCATGGGCAAAGCTCGCGGGCAAAAACAGGGCGCTCGGACATGGAGCTTTCAAGTGTGGACTTGTGCCCAGATAGCGCAGGGCAAAAGTTAAGTGTTGATAGGCCTTAAAGAAGAGGCGGTTGGCAGGCAGAGTCATCCCCTGGGCTGGTTGTAAGAAAGAAGAGGAGGAGGAGGAGGAGTTTGGATTTTATATCCTGCTTTATCACCACCCGAAGGAGTCTCAAAGCGGCTCACATTCTCCTTTCCCCTTCCTCCCCCACAACAAACACTCTGTGAGGTGAGTGGGGCTGAGAGACTTCAGAGAAGCGTGACTTGCCCAAGGTCACCCAGCAGCTGCATGTGGAGGAGCGGGGAAGTGAACCTGGTTCACCAGATTACAAGTCTACCGCTCTTAACCACTGCACCACACTGGCAGGTGATTGGGGAAAGACTAAGGGGGATGGGGCAGTGCCCCATGTGCCCTAGTGGACCAGCCTCCACTGCCCCAAGGGAGCACCAGCTGCTTTCAAATCTGCTGGAAGAAGAGCCAAGCAAGACCCCATCGCGTTAACCTGCCATTCACAAGCGCCCTTCCTGCAGAGCTTGCAGTTCCTTGCCTGCCAGGTTCTTTGGGGGCTTCCTGCAGAAAACTGTGCATCCTCAGCTACATCTTTCTAGGACCCTGTTCCTCTGCCCTGTGAATGGCAGTTGGATCTGGTGCCAGGCCTTATCGCCCGATCTTTGCAGTGTGTTCAGTCATGGGGTACCAAAGGAAGCCTTTTGAAATCAACCTTGTACGCATGCCAGCTTCCTCTGAACGTGGGACTAGTGGCGCTGTTGTCCTCTGATTCATTTCCTCCCCCTTTGCACCTCTGGGGCCTTTCAAGGACCTCCTCGATGCTGTTCTGCGGGAGGGGAATGGGGGACCAGATTCTGAGTCATGGGCTGGGCTGCGGAATTCAGATGCACATTTTTATATGTGGGTATTTGCTGTGCTTTTTTGCAGCGCTGTACCTGCTCTGCAGCCCCGGCCCTGGGCCAAGGGAGCTCGAGGTGGCTTACGAATCATTTTAAAGCGGGCAACAAAATGACAGCAAGGCAGTACAGTGAAAAACAAACTTCAAAACCAGATAAAAACAGTATAAATAGTACAACGAGAATGATCGGAAGACTTGTTTTGTCAGAAGTCTTTTTATTTAGGCGTTTATTCAAGTGTTAACAAGGATGATTATGCTTTTCTATGTATGTAAATCTGCTTTTTCTTCTTTTGTATTTTCTTCTTTTTTTCTTTCTTAATTGCTTTTTTCTTTAATTTTCTTTAATTTTCTTTTTGTAATATGAGATTGTAAATTCTTTGTATATATGTGTAATTTAAAATAATAAAGATTATATTAAAAAACAACAACACACAGATTGTTTCAATTCACAGCAGCATCTTTGGCAGCATGTCTTAACATCCACTGTCTGTCTAAAAATCTGCATCTTCAAACAGCAGCAGCAGAGAGGGAGCCAGGGGCATTTTTAAGAACCCCAAATCCCGGGTCTTTTGCACCAGGCTTTGGAGACCCAACTCTACAGTTCTTTGATTCTATGAAAACAAGAAGTCTTCAATTTGTTATAGTTTCCCATTTCATCTGAATCAGGAAACTATAATTAACATCTTCAAAACAGGCCAAGAGATTAAGCCAATTTAAAACCACGATTTAATACTTTGGCTTGTTCTGAAGCTGTTAACCATGGTTTCCTGGTTAAATCAGGTTTGCCAAATTGTTACTCTCCAGATACAGCAGTTCCATTGGCCATGCTGCCTGGGACTGCTGGGAGTCCAATAACATCCAGAGAACATCACATTGGCAACTCCTGTGATGGTTAATGAAAAGATTTAACGTTGTTTTTTGCTTGCTTGTACAAAGAGAGGAATGGAAGGAGCTCTGTGTGTGGCTGAAAAGCTCGCTCACATCTCGGCTTTCAAAGGCAAGATATGATCAGCCAAACATGGTCAATATCTCCGTATTGTATTTGGGAAGCCTGGAACTGCCTATAGCCAGTCAGTGAGTTCATGGCTGGGGCTACTTTTGAATGCAAGACTTTGCAGCTCAGATTCCTATACCATATGTGCGCAAACACATGCAGCCCTCCCATCAATTGCCCCTTCTGAAAGCAGCTGTTCAAAGTGGTATGTTGGCATCTGCCCGTCTTGAGAGACAATAGAGGAGTGTGCCTTCAAGGGCAAAGTCAAACCATTGGAGAGTTACAGCGCCTGCTGTGGCTGTAGAGACCGATATGGGAGAGACATGTTTGGTTGCAGCTGGGGCAGAGGAAGGCATCTGGTTGTGCTGTTGCACCACAGCATTTCTTCTCCCGGTGGTCATTTCTTCTCTGCTCACTGCTATGGATGCACAGCCAGACTGTCTGTCTCTAGGAGCTGCAGTCATCTATCAGGGATTCCCACACCGTGTGCTTGATGTTGCCAGCCTTCATGTCACATTTGCAGACATCTTTGTACTGCAGAGCTCCCTGAAGCCAGCTCCCTGTAGAGCATGTCCTTGTGGATCCCGCTAGGGATGAGCCATCATACTGGACAGAGTCACACATGTTCTCATGGAAGGACACAATCATTGTGATGGCCTGGGAATCTGATTCAGAGGCTGAAACTGAGGAGTCCCAGCCTGCACAGGAGTCCCCGCCTCCAGGGCCGGCTGAGCCGGGGCAGGGGCTTGAGGCTGAAGGGTCCTCACCTGTGCTGGATCCTCAGGAGCAGACACCAGCTGAATCCGCTTTGGCTCCGGAGGTGATTGAGGACCCATTGCCTGCAGGTGCTCCTCTCCCAGCCCTGTCAGGGGAAGGTGAGGTTGCCTCCGGGTCTGGTAACCCTCCAGCCTCTCCTGAGCTGCAGAGGCTCAGGGCAGAGAGGCGGAGGGAACTAAGCTCTCTCAGGAGGAGTGCTCGCCTTAAGGCCAGGGGAGGCGAGTCACCTGTGGGCTGGGACCGCCCCAGGCCTCAGAGGAGATAAAGGCCAATTAAGGCCAGTCCGCCAAATCCCAGGTTGCGGGAGCAACATCGTTGGAAACCTGTTGCTGCCAGCACCCTGACCTGCTTTTCTGGAGTTCCTGACCACGCCTGGCTCCTTGCCTTGGACCCCGCTTCACCCTTAATGGACAGCCTCCAGACCCTCAACCCAGGACTCAGACCACGCTGCACAGTAAACCCCCCCCCCCGGGACCAGCACAATCATCTTGCAGAGCTTAGGTGAGCTTTCTATCTTCTTGAGCAGAGTCATTTTCAGCTGATGAGGTCAAAGACCTGATGAAGGCGATGCACAAGGGGCATCTCTGCTCTTGGCAATTCTCCTGCAGCTGGCGCAGTGGGAAAAGCATGTCTACTGTAGACCTCTGAGCTCTAAAACTGCATTGTGACTCAGGATAGACCCTGTCAGCGAGTGACTTCAATCTGTTGAGAACTACAAGGGCAAAGGCTTTCCCCACAGTACTGAGCAGGGAGATTCCACCGTAGCTGTAACAGCCATGGTGGTCTGCTTTGTTATTCTAGAGTCACACATGCCTTGTGATACTGCTTGAAATGTATGGTGCAGATGGGGCCCTAGAATCCATCATGACTCCCCAAAATGTGCAACAGGCCTTCACAACTTGTCACCCACTAGCAGAATGCAATCTGCACCAACTATGTGTGAGATGGCCTTCCAGGGGCTTGGTAAATCTGGTTTTCCTGCCTCCCACCTTGGCTGTCAAAAGCCCAGGTCAATGTCAAGCAGATGGCAGGCCACAGATGCTGTGCTGTCTTCAGCTCAACAAATCACAAGTCCAAAGGGTCCGAAATATACGCACCAGTCGTTTATGTGATTCTTACTGGGGAAGGGCCACAGATCAGTGGTAGAGCATCTCCTTTGCATACAGAAGGTCTCAGGTTCAATCCTTAGCCTCTTCTGCTAGGGCTGGGATTGTTCCTTGTCTGAAACCCTGGCCAGTCAGGGGAGACAGTACTAGCTGGGCCAGTGATCTGAGTATAAGGCAGCTTCCTATGTTTTTATTTACCAGGGATAATGACTAATTTCTGCTATCTGTTCCAGGTAAGTTGCTTTTCTAAATTTTGCATTTCAGGAAATTTGTCAGTGCAAGCAGCTAGAATCATTCATCAGGGTTCAGCTCCCTTCCTGGGATTTCCAGCAATTAAATCTCTGACTGGAGGTGGACAACACACCTTGCCTCTTGTGCACCTTCATATGTGTATAAACATGAACATGAAGGCAAGGGCACAACTCTCTATCATTTCATACACTGCAGCTGCTGCTCTTGATAACATATTGTAGAAGAAGCATGTCCCCCCCCCCCGGGACATCTCTAATCAAAGGGACAAAATTCTGAATTTAAATACTATAGTCCTGAAGTCAATAAGGAACATGCTTTGTTGGATTTTCAACCAGTGGAGGGCAGACTATGGCAGGGTAAATAAATGCAGGATCTATAGCAGGTCAATGAGAGACTTCAACAATGTGTACAGTGGTACCTTGGGTTAAGAACTTAATTCGTTCTGGAGGTCCGTTCTTAACCTGAAACTGTTCTTAACCTGAAGCACCACTTTAGCTAATGGGGCCTCCCGCTGCCGCCATGCCGCTGCTGCGCGATTTCTGTTCTCATCCTGAAGCAAAGTTCTTAACCCGAGGTACTATTTCTGGGTTAGTAGAGTCTGTAACCTGAAGCATCTGTAACCTGAAGCGTCTGTAACCTGAAGTGTCAGTAACCCGAGGTATCACTGTAATAATCTGGGGAGGGGGAAGAACTCAAATAGTGAAACTTCTTTTGAAAATAGGGATGTTAAAATAGAGCCTGTGCTGTATTCATCTCTGAAAATGTGAAATATGCCATACAGCACAGCCCCAAACAACTTAGTCCTAGGCTTTATATAAGTGTGTGTGTGTGTGTGTGTCCCCACGCGCACGCACAATCACACAAATACATATATAGTGGTACCTCAGGTTACAGACGCTTCAGGTTACAGACTCCACTAACCCAGAAATAGTACCTCAGGTTAAGAACTTTGCTTCAGGATGAGAACAGAAATCGCAGCACGGCGGCAGCGGGAGTCCCCAATAGCTAAAGTGGTACCTCAGGTTAAGAACAGTTTCAGATTAAGAACGGACCTCCGGAACGACTTAAGTTCTTAACCCGAGCTACCACTGTAAACATCAAAGCAACACTGCCACAAACATCTATGCCACACACATCAAAGGCATCACCTTATCTCTGGGCTACACCAGTCCTTATCAGCAGGAATGAAATTTCCTTTTGAATATTTTCATTTCAACCAAAATTACAGTTGTGCCCATAGCCATTTAGTAACTGCACTCTGCACACTGTTACCGAGCTGGGCATGAGGCCCCCAGAGATGCTTCCAGAAACTTTTCACCGGCTTCAGATAATTATCTGTGGGGTATTTGTTATCGGGGCACTATTGAATCACAGGCAGCAGTTTTAATCCAGCCTGAAACCGTTCAGATGCTGCTCCCACAGAGAGACCAGCTTGCATTTCAGCCTAAAGCTTCCCCCGTCAGAAACTTCACAAGAACATGGGACCTTCCAAAGAACCCAGGTGTCCGAGAGCCTAGGCAGAAGGTAAACTAGGAGGACTTCCTGGCTTTGCTCTTTCTAGTCCATCCTCTCAGGCCCTCTGCTCCTTCCCCAACTCCATAGATCCCAAATGGAAAAGTGGGATTGAGAAGTCTTAAGAAGTCAGGAGACAAGAATGGAAAACCCAACCCACTCCCATTTCTTCAACTCCATTTTCCTGCCACCGTTCCATTTGGATCCTTAGCAGGACAAAAAATTAGAGGCAAATGCATTAGTCTCTGGGATCAGATGTTAATGGGAAGGTGGTTATATGGAGAGCAAAAGAAATTAACATGTGTCCCGTGCTTTCACTATATTCCATTCCTGTTTACCTGTCCTCTCTGCCTCTCTGTTTATCCACCCACCCATCCATCCATCCATCCATTTTCTTTCTGCCTGTTGAGTTTCCCACTACAAGGTCATCCTACTGTCCTTTCCTCATGCAGGGGTTTTTCACCCACTCTTTTTCTGTAGCCACCAGTTTCATGTGGGTTGATCCTTAGTTTTGAATCATTCTGTACAGTTATGTCCATCTCTAAAGCTTAAGTGTGTGTGTGTGTGTGTGGCAATATTTCCATATTTGGTGCAGTGCAGGAACAAGAGTGTGAGCTGGGAAGTCCCCAGTTCAGAATGCACACCACACATACAAAGAATTCTCAGAACTGCAGTTTACCCCTCAGAGAACTACAGTTCCCAGGATTCTTTGGGGTTGCCTTAAATGCACGGTGTATATGCAGCCATGGCGTCCTTAAGCACGCTACTCTCTCTCAGTCTCAGTTTCCCCACCACCGTCTGCAACGTGGGGATAATATTACTGGCCTCCCTTATAGGGTTAGTCTAAGGATGACTGAGATAATGCACGTGAAACAGTTTGGGTGCTCTGATGTGCAACATTAATGCTAAAAGCACAAGAGTCTTGTGGCACTTTAAAGACTTAACAGATATATTGTAGAGATGATCCTAGTTCCAATGAAATAAATAAATTAATATTAAATGTTATGAATTGTCTTTCCCATCCATGACTCTCAGGGTGGAATCCTCAGAACATTGTCTTGCACGAGGTGGAGTTCAATTGAAACCAACAGGATTTCCTTACAAGTCCGTTGGTTTCGAATAGAGATGTGACTCCCATTTTACAGATGAGAAAGTGAGTCACTGCTTGCGTTTGAGATAGGATTTTTCGAACCCAGTCCCCCCACGTCGAAGGACCAACTTCCTTCCACCACACTGACCGGCTTCCTTCTCATGTATAATTCTTGGGGCATTTTTGCCATGGGAGGCTTAAGAACAGCCCAATTCTGGGTATATTTCTGTGGAAGCAAAACCTACTGCATCAAATGGGACTTCCTCCCAAGTCGCGGCACATAGGACTGCTGCTGCTGGACTCTTTGCTTAAAATGCTCTCTAAAGTGAATGCAAAAACGCCATTGTTATTTGCTTGCATGAAGCGCAGCATCAAAAAAGGGCAAAAGAGGATCAAATGTTCCCTTGTGGAAAAGCATGTCTATCTGTGAAGAAACTGGTTGATGTGTTTGTCTGAAAGTCCCATGGCATTGGTCTTGAACTCTGGGTGGCATGTTTTGCCTCTAGTGCACAATGCTTTTCTAGTGCCCTGTCCCTGTCCTCTCCCCATTACAGTGGTACCTCGGGTTACAGACGCTTCAGGTTACAGACTCCGCTAACCCAGAAATAATACCTCGGGTTAAGAACTTTGCTTCAGGATGAGAACAGAAATTGTGCTACGGCGGCGCGGCAGCAGCGGGAGGCCCCACTAGCTAAAGTGCTTCAGGTTAAGAACAGTTTCAGGTTAAGAACGGACCTCCGGAACGAATTAAGTACTTAACCTGAGGTACCACTGTAGTATTATTATTATTATTATTATTATTATTATTATTATTATTATTACTAAATTGTCCTTCACCCAAATATCACAGGGCGGTTTACAATATTAAAATACAAAAAAAAAATTACATACCATAATAACAAGCAATAACAATAATGCCCCTCGGTTATTGTTATTTAATAATTTTATGTACACTTAAGAATAGTCCTGCGCTCTTCCCTTCCTTGCACAACAGTGATCCTTTCAGCGTCTTTACACAAACAGCAACCTCCACATTTGCCTTTTCTGCCATGTCCAGGCAATTCACTCTCCCCCTTCCCCATTGTGTTCTTGCAGGCACCTTTCTGACCTCGGCAGGTTCTGCCAGCCTTTGTGTTTCTCACTTGCAACACGTCTGCCTTGCCATTTCTCAGCCATCCCAGTGTGTTTCTCTCGTGGCTTTCATGCTCATTTTTCTGCTCCTGTGCTCCTAATTCACTTCATTCTCTGCCTTTTTAAAAAAATGAAATTTGGGAGTTTGTATTTGCACTACTAGAAGTCGGTGCGAGGAACTGTAGATCTGCTCTGGGTTTTCGGTGCAGTTATTTTAACTTTCCAGCACAACTGTAAATAATAGAACTCAAAACCTATCACATTTTGCCCGAGCCTATGCCTGTTTGAGTCAGAAACATGTCCCCTGCGATCTAGTGAGACCTAGGCACCAATAAGTACGTGTTTATAGGATTGTGGCCTTAACTCTTTCCCAAAGGATCTACAAGGATTATTTTCTTGAATTCACTCTCCATGTTCAAAGCCCTGACCCACCATCGAATCAGACTTAGAAATTGACAAAGATTGGAGGTTGGCTCATCTATTAATCTGTTTACTCCCTCCTCTCAGTTATCACAATCTGTCAGGATACCACTACTCCTTTTTAATCTGTGGAGTGATAATCACATCTAGATGTAACTTTAAAAAATCAAGTCAACATTCCTAACAATTTATACCTCGGTCCGTTGTGTGATTGCTTTGCGTCTAGCGTTCTCGAACTCACTGCACTTTGGCCATGCACTGCCAGTTTTCCAACACCCTTTTCATTTGAAGAGGGAAAAGTTTGCCTTGTCTCTAGCCGACCCACGCTTGGAAATGCTCATTGTGCCAAGGCAGCCAACATTGGGGCTTAGCCTTTGAAGCTCTTTTCAGTCCCAAAGCTCAGACATAGACCATGCAAAATAATAACGATGATGAGGATGCCTCTACCCATGTGCAGAGTGCACTTCTCTCAGCCCCAACAATACAGTAGCAGTGAAGGGTATCCAAAGCAGAGGATAAATTATTGAGGCTGAACACGTCTCATCTTCAGCACTTTGCCCTATCCACCCATGTTGCAATCCTGCTTTTCTGTCTACCCCATTCCTCTATCCATATCCATTACTATTCTTAACAATTCCTCGCCTTTGTCCATTACTCAAAGAGAAATCAACAACTGTCCTTCAAACAACTGGATTTTGGGCATGCATTGAATCAAACTGACCTGGTGCAGAGCACAAACCTTGGCAAATTTTTGAACACGTCTTGGTCCACGGAGCCTAGAAAACGTGGGGAAGGGCTGGGTTGACACTGGAGAAAGTGTCGCCACTTCAGCCGCTTGATCTGCCTCAACCAAGTCCTCCTACGATGTCCCAGGCTGTACTGGTGGGACAGAGAGAGAGAGAGACTGAAAGCAACAGGGAGGGGACCGATGACCAAAAAAAATAGTCTGCAGCAACCACCCAAGTGATGTCTCCGCCTCCTCCAAAGGCGACCGGCAAGAAGGATGAAGAAGAGGGAGAGGGAATTGGAGAAATACATAAAAACCCGTATGCAGACCAAATAAAACCAACACCCTTCATTTGGAAACAATTCAAGGGATAAGTTCAAGTGTGTGGGGTGGGAGAATTAGAGGGCCAAAAGTTCTGGAGATCGTATCAAGGGCTGGAGGGGGAGCTGTATTTAGTGGGTTGGTGACAAGCCTGGAAGCCCAAACTCCTAGATCTCATCCCAATCTATGGGGTGAATTTGGGGCCTGGGCTTGTGCAGGGAGAAAAGAGAATGTGAGACGGTAGGAAGTCAGCAATGTAAGTTCCTGTATCTTTTATGTTCTTATCTCTTGCTATTTGGATCCACCAGCGCAAGATATCTTTCGCTCAGCCTTCCGTGGAGGGAGATATGTAGCTGAGCATTTTCCCCCCACCCCACCCTGAGAGAAGCAGACATCTTGTTACAGCTCTTCACATGGATGGAGAAATCATTGAAGGTTGTGCAGAGAGGGGGGCGGAGAATCCTGACCACTGCTTGCCCACCTACTTGCCCACGTCCCCCCTGTGTTTCTATATGGATCCTCAAAAGAGTAGCCAAGCATTTTGGGCTATTGTAATGCGCTCTACGTAGGGCCACCTTTGAAGGTGACTCGGAAACTGCAATTAATCCAGAATGTGGCAGCTAGACTGGTAACTGGGAGTGGCCGCTGGGACCACATAACACCGGTCCTGAAAGATCTTCATTGGCTCCTGGTACATTTCCGAGCACAATTCAAAGTCTTGGTGCTGACCTTGAAAGCCCTAAACGGCCTCGGACCTGTATACCTGAAGGAGCGTCTCCATCCCCATCATCCAGCCCGGACACTGAGGTCCACCGCCAAGGGCCTTCTGGCGGTTCCCTCATGGCGAGAAGTGAGGTTACAGGGAACCAGGAAGAGGGTCTTCTCAGTAGTGGCGCCTACCTTGTGGAACGCCCTCCACAAAGTAGATATCAAGGCAATAAACAACTGTTTTACTTTTAAAAGACAACTGAAGGTTTCCCTGTTAGGGTAAGTTTTTAATGTCTGATGCTGTATTGTTTTTAATATTCATTGGAAGCTGCCCAGAGTGGCTGGGGAAACCCAGCCAGATGGGCGGGGTATAAATAAATTATGATGATGATGATGATGATGATGATGATGATGATGAAAGTAAAGGCATGTGTCCGACACACGTTTATAGCAAGTTTGCAGAGCACATGTTTTGCAGGACAAAGGTTCAATCTTTTGCATCGCCAGGTAGGGCTGGAAATGTCTCCTGTCTGGAAACCTGGAGAACTCTGAAACACTAGTCAGTGTACTGTATTGACAGAAATGACCTCGGGTGGACCTGTGGCCTGACTCTGTATGGCAGCTTCATATGTGAGATTGTACAGCAGGATGCCTGACCTGAGAACAAGTAGGCAGAACCATTGCTGACTGTTTTCACTTCCCAAATAATGCCACACCTTCCAGCTTTCTCTCTTTTTCTGACAACTGCCCCTGGTAAGCCATTGGTCCTATTCTATTTGTCTTTGGGGAACCCAGTCGGATGGGCAGGGTACAAATAAAATATTTATTAATTATCATCATCATCAGCAGTATCTTTTACAAGTTACCATATTTTTTGCTGTATAAGACTCACTTTTTCCCTCCTAAAAAGCAAGGGGAAATGTGTGTGCGTCTTATGGAGCGAATACAGGCTGTGCAGCTATTCCAGAAGCCAGAACAGCGAGAGGGGTTGCTGCTTTCGCTGCGCAGCAATCCCTCTTGTTGTATTGGCTTCTGAGATTCAGAATATTTTTTTTCTTGTTTTCCTCCTCCAAAAACTAGGTGCTTCTTATGGTCTGGTGCGTCTAATAGAGCGAAAAATACAGTAGTTGCTAGCATTGTCGTTCTGTGAGGTCCAACCTCCTCCCAGCTCTCTGGGGTTAAAATTGCACAAGATGTGTAAGCATGCAGGCACAAGTCTGTAAATATAACCCACATGAAGAGAAAACACAAGTACAGGGTTTTCCTTCCATCTGCCATCCCTTCGCCACCTGTCTGCCCCTGACCCCACCTAGTCAGAGCTGCCAGTCAATGACTGTAAATGCTGTTAGATATTGTTTAAGCTGGAGCTGTTTGATAAGCCTGGCCAGATTCATGGCAAAGGAAATAGTCAGTTTATTAACATTATTCAGGAGCCAATGTTGAGCAGGCTATGATTGCCAAGTAAAGGAGTCACCAGCCTTTGTTTTTCTTTCCTCCTTTCCCCTTGTGATAATGTTTTTTCTCCTTCTTTTCACAGAATCTCTAAAAACTTGCAGTTCTGTTTGATGGAGGCCACATTTCCCGCTTACTGAAATAATGGGCTTCTTTGCCACTGCAGGAGTTGGAATGCGAAAGAGTACATGTGTCTAGGCTAATGATGTTGCCTGATTACGTTGGGGAAATCACAAGATACCCTCTTTTTCTGTCTCTTCTTCTTTTTATATAAATATTTTTATTGGCAATTTCAACATAACAAATTATCAAACCATATAATTGTATACATTATATTTCCCTTCCCCCCCACCCCCTTCAATCCCTCCCTCCCCCCCACCAGAGACTTCCCTCAGCTCCTCTCTCTGATTTCTCAGCACATATTATTCTCTGTATGTTAGAAAATTATACATTATACATATCCTTACGTTATCTATCTATCTATCTATCTATCTATCTATCTATCATCTATCATGTTATCAACCAGTAAGTTTGTGTATGTTTATTTAAAACCTGCCAAGGCATTCCCTGTGGAACGCCCTCCCACCAGATGTCAAAGAGAGCAACAACTACCAGACTTTCAGAAGACATCTGAAGGCAGCCCTGTTTAGGGAAGCTTTTAATGTTTGATGTATTACAGTATTTTAATATTTTTTTGGAAGCTGCCCAGAGTGGCTGGGGAAGCCCAGCCAGATGGGCGGGGTATAAATAATAAATTATTATTATACATTATTATAAGGAGTCCAGTTCATTTTGTTGTCTTTTTAGATAATTTGTAAAAAGCTCCCATTCTTTAAAGTCACAGTTGTCCTTGTCCCGCAGTTTGTATGTCAGTTTAGCCAATTCCGCATAACTCATCAATTTTTCTTGCCACTGTTCTTTTGTTGGGATTTCCTCGTTCTTCCATCCTTGTGCGATCAAGACTCTTGCTGCTATTGTAGCATACATAAATAAGTTCTTTGTTTTTCTTGGTGAGTCTTGTCCTACAATCCCTAACAAAAATGCTTTTGGTTTTTTTTACAAATGTCATTTTAAACATTTTTTTCAATTCATTATATATCATTTCCCTTTTTTAAAAAACTTCTCTACATTCCCACCACATATGATAAAAAGTTCCTTCTTTTTCTCTGCATTTCCAACATGTATTTGATATATGTTTTGTACATTTTTGTACATTTTTGCTATCTGTACTGGTGTAATATACCATCTATACATCATTTTCATATAATTTTCTTTCAAAAGACTTTTGCTGTCTCTTCAAAATCTTTGTTGCGTCTACTTCTCACTGCTGTCAATCAGGGTTTCCCAAAGCTCCGATAGCCAAATAAACTCCTCCCCTTCTCTGGATTTCCATTCTTCCAGGGTAAGAGAATTACACCTGCCAAGGAGTCCACACTTGTGTTTCCACGTGAGTCACTGTTCTAATTAGAAGGAAGCCAGCTCAGAGGAGGGACTTGCACGGAGGCACAACATGCCTCTTGGAGGAAGGGCCATGGCTCAGTGAGCTTTGCATGCAGAAGGTCCCGGGTTCAACCCTTGGCAGCTGCGGGAAAGACTCATAACTGGACCTCTGGAGAGCTGCTGATACTGCAAGTCAGTGTAGGGATAACACTGACTCAGTATGATGTAGTTTCATAGGTTCTGTGTTCTCTTAGAGGGGGTGATTTTGCATCTTTCGCACCAGCAACAATCCACTTGCATCCCATGTAGAGACAAGACATAATCCTGCGGATGAAATAGATGACTGAATGGAAGGAAGGAAGGCCAAAGCAGTGACTCGTGCAGGAACACAACAGGCACCCTCCTTGGAGGGAGAGAGATTGTGCTGTGCCTTTACACTGGGAATGATCCACCTGCAACTATGGAAGAGAAAGGGCAGAATCATACCCCACCCCCCAATAACAGATGGAAAGAGTCAGGGCTAGAGCAATATATACGGGACATCTTCCTTTCCAAGTGGACACTCAACCTGTGGGTCCCCAGATGTTGTTGAACTATAACTCCCATCACCACTAGCTAGCAAGGCCAGAGCTCAGGAATGATGGGAGTTATAGTCCAACAACATCTGGGGACCTACAGGTTGAGAACCGCTGCTTTAGACTCACAGGAGTGCTCTTGTCTGCCTGCCTGCCTGTCTTACTTTTATTAACCTATTTGAAATGTTACAAAAACAAATGTATACCCAGTAAAATAAAGTCACAAAACAAACTACATTGCATTATGAAGGGAGACCATTTATCTACAGTAACGATGAAACTGAGGTGGTGAATCCCTTTCTCTTTTGCATCCTGTCTGTGGGTTTATTCATCTGGAGGATGAATAGTAATAGGATTTAAGTACATAGCAAAATATGGTCTGAAGCTCAACATCAAAAAAATGAAGATCATGGCCACTGGTCCCATCACCTCCTGGCAAATAGAAGGGGAAGAAATGGAGGCAGCGAGAGATTTTACTTTCTTGGGGTCTATGATAACTGCAGATGGTGACAGCGGTCACATAGTTAAAAGATGCCTGCTTCTTGGGAGAAAAGCAATGACAAACCTAGACAGCTGCTTAAAAAGCAGAGGCATCACCTTGCCAACAAAGGTCCATATAGTTAAAGCTATGGTTTTCCCAGTAGTGATGTATGGAAGTGAGAGCTGGACCATAAAGAAGGCTGATCGCCGAAGAATTGATGCTTTTGAATTCTGGTGCTGGAGGAGACTCTTGAGAGTCTCATGGACTGCAAGAAGATCAAACCTCTCCATTCTTAAGGAAATCAGCCCTGAGGGCTCACTGGAAGGACAGATCCCTAAGCTGAGGCTCCAATACTTTGGCCACCTCATGAGAAGAGAAGACTCCCTGGAAAAGACCCTGATGTTGGGAAAGATGGAGGGCACAAGGAGAAGGGGACGACAGAGGACAAGACGGTTGGACAGTGTTCTCAAAGCTATGAACATGAGTTTGACCCATCTGTGGGAGGCAGTGGAAGACAGGAGTGCCTGGCGTGCTCTGGTCCATGGGGTCACGAAGAGTCGGACACGAC